TGAATGAGCCTTCTATGAATGCCCTCCAGTTCTTCAATTAGGCATCTTTTGAATCTGGCCCACCAATGCACAGTCTTCAGAGCCATCATATCGCTTAAGTGTCTAGAATAGCGGATGACAAAGCCAAGCATTCTATTTGCTCTGCTGCAGATGTGAGTTATGTTACTCACATCGGGGTTTAGTGAAGGTGCCAAAATGACACGTAGGTCCTTTACCTGCTGAATTCGGGTTAAGGGTTCACCACACACTGTATATTCAAACATTATTGGAGTATGACAACAATGGAGCACACTTCTTGATGTTAATTTTCATCCTGTTGGTCTGGCGCTGTGGTCAGCCATGTGGAAATCTTCCTGAATGTGTATGCAGTCGTCTTCTGAAAATATGATAGAGAAGATTTTCACATCATCAGTAAAAAGTAGAGAATTCCTCTGAAGAGCCCCAGGCAGGTCATTTATAGAGAGTGAAAAGAGATAATGGTTGAGCAATGATCCTTGTGGAACCCCAGAGCAAAAGATCAACTCAGGCGAGTTTGCGGACACAAAGTTCTCGTACATCTTTCTGGTTTGGAGGTAGGCCTAGCTGGCCAACCACTTTATTTCTCCGTTTCCAAACCCCTGGACAAGCAGCTTCCGCAGGAGGAGAGTGTGATCCACCGCGTCGAACGCCTTGGAGAAATCCAAATATACAGCATCCAACTGACTGTTCGTGACAAAGGCTTCTTGAATTGTTGACTGAAGAAGTGTTAAGTTGGTAACAGTAGACCTTTCTGCCATGAAACCATGCTGCTGAGGACAAATTATGCTAACCAGTTTGAGCTTGATATGGTTAAGAAAGATGTCTTCAAAAACTTTGGCCACGGCAGGCAGGATTTGAGTAAGGCATACTACTATAGAGTTGGTAACATAATTAATAGCTCCTGATTTGTGGATAGGAATGACATAGGCCGATTTAAATGCTTTAGGGTAAATACTATTTGCCAGTGATGCATTGAATATATCATAGATCTGTTCAGCCAATAAACTGTGACAAAACTTTAAAACCGTAGGTGGGGAATTATAAAATTATAAGAACGTTCTTATAATCTTAGATGATGTTATGGGCTGGGTAAATACCAACGATCACATAAGAAATAATTATTCTTTAATAATAAATTGTTACCTCTTTGACTATAATAATGTGTTGACAAAATTACTGACCAAAGATTTGATAGAATGTTTCTCATAATCAAGACTCAAATTGATACATAGACCTTAAGTTTCAAATATGGGTATACCTATCAATAGTAGGCCTACAACTAAAAATATGTTTTGTTAAAAATAAGCTTATTCAACAAACCCTTCCCCCTATAACTTAAATTAAATATACTACATAAACATATACCTACAGACACCATTTTCAAAGTCTTTAAGTATGAATTTGGACCAATAGTATATCAATATTTATTTAGTACCAGTAATTGTTGTGCATGTAATTTGCATAGTAGGTATGTTCTAATTTTCTAAACTAAAGTAAAATATATAGGCTACACAATACACACCTTCCAATCGGCTACACGACAATAATCATTTTACGTTGAGTTTCTTGATATTTGATAAAAATATAAATATACAACATGCATGGCTTATTAAGCCTTAGTGTGTAGCTGAATAATCATAAATAATTAATTAAAAATGCAGGTAGGCCTATTTTACATCTCTAGGCTATAATTTAGAGATATGACGTAAAATTTGTGTAAATAGGTCTTTGTTGTTTATTAACCTTGACAATGCCTTTTGCATGTACCACACGGATAGGGCCTAAGTTAATACTGTAAATTAAAGATCCTAATTTCATTCAAGCTATTTTTATTTCCCTAAATCCCCTTTAAGATAATGTATAGGCCTAAATCAATCGGCCTAACTTATAATTCTGATAGATCCTAAAGTGAAACATAAAAAAAAACTTCACTTTATTTTATCCCAGCCTACCTTAGACGAACCGAGGCCCCACTAGAAAAACAGGCCATGCTGCAGTGCGGGCAGCTCAACACTACGTCACAGTGGTGGATAGTTGTACTAAGTAAAATCTTACCATTAAAATCTGACAAACAGCCGGCTTATTTACCTAAAACATATGGAATATAGCAGTGAATCTATCAATGAATCTATCCACTAGTGTGACGTCATGGATCCTGCAGCATGGCATGTTTTTCTAGTGGGGCCTTGGACTAACCAACACAAGTAGACTTCTCATCGCATTGTAAAATTTGAAGCTCGTTTATCTTGTCTAACTTAAGTTTAGTTAATATTGGTGACATTGGACGCTAGTATCGACAACATTTATTTTTGTATTAGCTTATGTAGGGTTAATTTCTGTGCTTTAAGTTTGAACTTGTTTAGAATGTTTTTACCCACAGCATTACATGATTTTACTTAAGTTAACTTAACACTGAATAGGCCTACATTAGGTAAGCAAAATACTTGACAAACTTAGCCTAGAACAAACCCTTGTTTTGGTAATAGACTAACTTAAGCCTAGGCCTGGAAGGAAATTTGCTACCAAATTGGATATTGTGAGAATTTTGGGCCATTTTAACTGAAGTAACTTTGTCCCACTCTGACATACTTATTGATGTGTACACCCGATACTTTGGTATTAATCGATAGCTCGTTTTATTTAAATAAGCAAGTATCATTCATAGAGACCACACTTTGAGGTTAGCCAAATGGAAATGACAATGGTTTTAACAAAGAATGGAATCGGAATGTTTGATACTCAAAATTAATTTCAAATAATTATTTTGTTAAAGAATAAAAGTCTAAGAAAATAAAAGGGCTTCTAGATTATAATAAATACAAATTATTCACCTCAAAATTTGTGTTTGTCATTGTTGTGGAGTTCCCAGCAGTTAGTTTCGTTCGTTTCTCTCTCTACTAAATCTATTCTAGTTTCTTTTCTTTTCTACCGACCCGAGACCCGACCCCGACAGCACTAGACTAGCACAGTCGAGTCAGGTCAGCAGGAAGGACTAAGGAGCACTTAGCAGTGAGCAGTCTCAGACTAGCGTCTAGCGGCACAACCTTCCACAGTGGTGCACAGCTAAGTTGGATTGTGGTGGGGATAAGGGGGAGATGAGCCGCGGAGGGAGAGAACTGACAACTGACAAACTAACTGAGAGGAGGAAAGGAAAGAGACGTGTCCCCAAAACAATACGATATCACTCTAAAACGTTATTAAATTTACTATTACTTTATAGATGTACTTCAATAAAAAAGGGTTATTATTCACTTTGAGTAATACTTCTTTTGTCTATTTAATTAATAGGTATGAGAAGTGTTAATAACACCAGAAAAATGTTATAATTCTAACTAAAACAATACATCCTAATTATATTAAATTGAATGATTTGAGTTATAAAATATAAAATTAAAGGAAAATAATAGACGTGGGCTATAGTAATATCTGTCAGGTAGTCATTAGCCTAGGCTACACTGACACTGCTTTAACTTATCACTTTGTTTAACTATCTCAACTCAGACCTAGATAAATAAATAATACTGTAGTAAGTTTAGGCCTTATTTTCTATCAAAAATTGAAATCTGTGAATTGAGTGTGGCTTTAAAAGAAATCAAACTTATTATTGATTTCCAAGGTTTGACTTGATCACATTTTGATTTTGGGTAACTGTTGGCCAATTTTGCTAAAATGTTAGATATTTTTATTTTGGTACCTACCTGTCTTAACTTAGGCATACTTTTAACTAAGAAGAAATTATTTCTTATGGCAACAACCCTGTATTGAAATATTCTATCTTCAATCATTCGAATTAGCATGTGACTAAGATTAAATAAAAAGTGTCTATACGTCTAGTCATTGCCCAACCTACCAAAAATATAGGCCTACTGTACCTGTATGTCTTTTTTCCCTAAATTTTATAAGACCAATTCTTCTGGTACTCTGACTTCTGAGGATGGAAATCAATAGGCCTACTTCTACCACTTTGCACTACTGTAGATCATTTTACAATATTTTGTTTTATCCTGAGTATTCCCCACATAGTGTTGGAATAGAACCATCATCAAACTACTCCCTTGTGTTCTTGTGTTGGTTAGTCTATGGTTAGAACTTACTGCACAGTGTTCAGTGAAGAACAGAACACATTGATTTGTACCACACCGGTCGTAGACTTTTAACATTTGTTTTTGTTATTTAAGTAAAAATATTTCAATGGTAACAATATTTATTACAGTAAATAATAATACAAAAACTCGTGTTTAATAATGCTTTGCATTTACATTTTACATAACCACATATCTTTAAAATTGTTGAGGGTTTCCATGAGACCTAAGATTACATGGTGGATAGAAGGATGGAGTTGTGAAAAATGTAAAACTTGTAAATGAAAAAACATTTATATGTACATAGTCTTACTAGCCTATTATAATATACACATAAACTTAATCATCTTTAAGCAAGTCCAAAGCAATTTTCTTTTGAAACAAATCAAATCCATTTATTGCCATCAACATTGACAATATGGATAACAAGTTTTTAAGTCAAGCAGTTAAATGGATCACAAATTTGCACTAATAAGTAAATAAATAAAAAAGATGTCAATTTAGTTTTAGATTACATACACTGAAAGATGTGATAGAATGGATATCTACTGAGCATTGCCTATATGAAATTTGAACACTTGTGAATTGGTCTTTGACTTTTAAAATCGATTTGTCAACGAGTAATCTAGTCACACATTAGCATCAATAAAAGATTAAAAGAAGTCTTTTATAAAAAAAAAAAAAAAAAAAAAAACTAGGTATAGACATCCCAAGAACAAAACAACCTGCGCAGAAACAAAAAAATCACGTCGTTCGCGCAAGTGGGTGTGACGAACCCTACAAACCTGCGCGGCGCGAATAGGCCCAGGGTTGTTTTGTTTCTGGGAAGTCTATAGGCCTAGTAAAAAGGAATAGAGTTGTAAAATATGTAAAACTTGTAAATAAAAATATAAACATTTATATGTACATAGTCTTACTAGCCTATTATAATACACAACTAAACTTAATCATCTTTAAGCAAGTCCAAAGCAATCTTCTTTTCAAACAAATCAAATCCATTTATTGCCATCAACATCGACAATATGGATAACAAGTTTTTAAGTCAAGCAGTTAAATGGATAATAAGTTTGCACTTAATAAGTAAATAAATAAAAAAGCGAGTTAATTTAGTTTTATTATTTACATACTCTCGATGATGTGAAAGAATGAGTATCTACTGAGCATTGCCTATATGAAATTTGAACACTTGTGAATCGGTCTTTGACGCTTTGTCAATAAGTAATCTAGTCACACATTTGCATCTATAAAAGATTAAAAGAAGTCTTTTGTTAAAAAACTAAGAAGTAAAAAGGGATGGAGCTGTATAATATGTAAAACTTGTAAATAAAAATATAAACATTTATATGTACATAGTCTTACTAGCCTATTATAAAACACTACTAAACTTGATCATCTTTAAGCAAGTCCAAAGCGATCTTCTGTCGCTCCTCATTGGTTAATTTACTTGGGCCTTTTACATTGAGTCCCCTCTTCTTCCTTGTACTTAAAAACCTCCTCTGTTTTTCGATTTTGGAGTTTGCAGGAAAACCAGGGTTGTCACTTTTCTGTAAAAAAATAAGTAAAATAAGTATAAAAATTATTAATAAGACCTACATTCAAACTAAATCTACAGGGTAGCTGCAGTCATGGTACTATTAATTAAGGAAAATTGTACAGGGTGAGGCAAAAAACAGATAAATTTTCTGCAGCGAAACGTTGTCTGAGGGTGGTCAACACAATGCCATTCGGCTATATGCAGTCATAGAGCAGTGGTCGTTTGAGTTACGTGCGTTTGCTATTGAGTCGGATTTAAATAGTAGTGAATTAATTTATTACAACTGAGTGGCAGTTTCGCGCATTCTTTCAACTAAGGCGACATGGAGAAGTTGTGTTGCGTAGCACAATCATGCGGTGGGTGCTACGTACGTTTTTTATACCGTAGGCCTACCCTGTATTTGAGTGAAACAAAATTCCATTCCGGTACTTAGGTATTAGGTAGAAGCCAAACTACCTAATAGCAACAGTGGTTAGGTTAGCTTAGGTAAGGTTATGATAAATATGTTAACCCTTGTAGTGTTATGTGTCGCTTTTGCGACTCACAAACACTGTTTACGGCGACAGCTCTGCGCTATTATATTATTATTATAAGTTATTTTATTATTATATATTTGGAATCCTCATAAAATTCTGAACAAAGTGGCTATTTTAAAAAATTTGTAGACTTATAAATTATAACAATTTATTGAGCGCAAACATAAATTTTTTTCATTTATTTTATTATTTTTGAGAAATGTTAACCCCACAAAAATTGTTGAACATTTCTTTTGTAATGTTTTATATGTTACATTGAAGCCCATAATTTTCCAAACAAAATGATATATAAAACAGTATACTTTACATTGTTTTTAAGTTTCTAAGATACATTTTTTAATAAAACCCTGCGATTGTGCAATAAATGGGTGAACATTAAGACCAAAACTAGAGACATTTGGAGGGTTAAGTAATATTCAGAATATGTCAGTTATGTATATATTAAAAGTACTGCCCATAAAATTATTGGTTATAATACGCAAGGACCACCATTCCTTATAAAGTAATTGAAACAGTGAAACGCTACTGTACCTGCAATGGTCTTGCAGAAGCCAACTTCGCTGCTTTCAGTGTAGGCATTAGTTTTTTAAAATGACTTTTCACTAAATTCAACTCTTCTTCTGTTTCAATAGACTCTTCTACCATAGCCTTTAATTCTTCTAATAGAGCCTTCTTTTTTTCATCCAATGATGAACTAGAACATGCAACAGGCATATTTTCACTGAGTTCATCCAGTAATGTAAATTCCATTTTGTTAGCACTTTCACAATCCACATCAATGATTAAATCTTCCTGATTTTCTGTTAGGCCTACACTTACTTCATCTTCAACGCCACACATGGATCTGCATAATAAATGGATGTGTTTGCACATATTGTTCCTTATGCTATTGTCAATACAGGAACAGTTGTACTGATGAAAACACGACTTGCAGTGTGTACATACCAACTGACAGTTTGTACAATTTTGTATTTTTTTTATCGTGTAAAATTCTTCATTTTTTGATGACAAAACTTGCCAAATGCCATCTGATAATTTTGTAATCATTTCACTGTCGAGGCTTAGACTTGACTTGTGCCGGTTCCTTAGGCATTGCAGTTTCCGAACAAGCTTTCCTTTTTCAATCTTGATAATTAAATCAAATAGCTTGTCTTTGATCAGATTGAGGATAGCAAAAAGGGTCTTGTCAAGACGTTTGACTTTTTTGCCTTTCAGATAACAATATTTTAAGACCTTATTAAAATTTTCAATTGACATATTCGTGTTTATACCTGAGTTGATTCTATGGCAGTATGCCCAACATTTCACTTGACTTTTCTCTTGGCCTACATACTGCTTAGAGAAATATTCTCCAAATGGTTTGGTTTCCTCATCATCAGCCAACCTTTTGATAACTTTAGGCAACAGTACGTTAAACGTATCTTCGTCCAGCTCATACAGCAATGTAAATAACATTTTTTTTACTTCTTCTCTTTTTTCTTTATTGGTTACTTTTCCATTTAAGTTTGTCCGCCAAGCTTTCTGGACATGCCAGGTGCAGAAAAGACGCATACTTGGGGGACCCATTGTTTTATGCCATGCAGAAAAAAACCCTTCTTCCATATCGGACATAAAAGCTTTCGGTGTGATGTTGCCAACATGTTTTTTTATCTGTTCAAAAAAAATTGTTAGAACATTTTCATCCCCTCTATTTGTAAACATGAAGGAACAGGGGAACCCTTCTCGGCACTCATCCAGGACTAATAGAGTATACAATTGAAAATTGTAGTTGTTTAGCCCATGAGTGCCATCAACACAAATAACGTCGTTTCCATATTTTTTAAGTATTTCACTTTGTGCATTCGTCATAAACACGAGGAAAAAATCATTCTCATTAAGTTGGGGCAATTCATTATTGGATACCCCTTGAGGCTTGTATGTTAACAAAGTGACATCTTTAGAGGTCTTGAGTTCTTCAACCCAAGCATCCACACTAACTGGATCAAAGGGGTGTTTCATAGATTCACTGTTGAGATTGAAACTCTGCTCTATATTCAATATATCCTTTTTGTTCATCAAATGTATTCGATTCAGTGTGTTATTTGATAGACTGCCCCTGACCCCTTTTAAAATTTCGTCGTGTGGAATTTTTGTTGCAATCTGAGTTGCAATTAGTTCTCGTTCTTCCCTGGTCAGATGAATATGCTTTAATTCTGGCTTATGTCCAACATGTTTTGAAGTGTAGTGTACTTCTACTGTTTGGTCTTCCAGTATTTTAACTTTCATTTTAGCTGGACAGAAAGCTCCGACTTTGCATGTTCCCATAATTTTTAAATGGCGTTGCCTGTTATTAGTCGAGTGTCTTTTTCTGTATGTACCACATCGGTGGCAGCGAAAAATCATAAGTTTTGAGGTTGAGAGTTTTTTAACAAAAAAACTAATAGTTTTTCGTTCAGTTTCCTTTTTCCATGCAAAAAAACTATCTACAGTGGGGAAATTTAGTTTTTCAACTTGAACATGTATATTGTGTGTGACCAAAAAGTGGTTTTTTATATCTTTAGTAGCTTTTGGACCTGTTGAATGGAAAGTACACATGGGACATTGTCTTTTCAACACAAGTTTCGGAGGTTCGCCATGATTGTGAATTTTCCTCTCATGGTATCGAAGGCGATGCACATCTTTATACACTGCACTACACAAAGAACACTTGTGTCGGGGAAAACTCCTTTTCGAAACTTCTTCTTTGGCTATTTTATGAACCTTTAGTGTATGCCTCTTTAAATGAAACTTGTGGACAGTCTTGTAGCTGCATTTGTCACAGTTAAAATACTGGTCAGACTGTTGTAGATGAACTAAATTGATGTGTCTCTGCAAGCTACACTTTTGGTTGTACTTTTTATCACAAAGCACACAAGTGTACTTCGTCTTGGGCTTTTCTTCATCCTTTTGTTGATGAACTGCTTTTACATGGCGGTTGCGGTAGGCTGTTTTGCTAAATTCTTTGCCGCAGAACCCACACTTTGCAATTGATTTCTCCATCTAAAAACAAAACAAAATATTATTAAAGATAGTCAAGTATTAACTTAACACACCTCTCTGCAATGATTAAAGGCACAATTTTATGAAACCATATAATTTATTAATCAATGCCACAATCAGTTTTGTCCTTTAGGCACATATGTCTAAGAACATAAATGTGACATTGGAAAGACAAATGATAAATTAACATTCACACTTTCAAAATAGCCTAACTTAATAAGTTAGGCCTACTTTTCTGTGGCCTAATATAAAAAGGATCCGGCTACTGTTGTTAATGTTTGTCACTACCAAACATGTAAGGTATAAATATAAAGGCCTAACTTAATAAGGTGTAAAATATCATTACAAATTTATTATTAGGCTAGGCCACATCATAAGTTACTCCCAATTAGGCTAACAATAATACTCACACAATTAATTAAATTGTGTAGGACCTACATTAAGTTATTATTAGTATGTATAAAAGATTAGTTTACGTTTGTTAACATGTTGTATTTTATTTCTTTAAGTACAAAACATTGTCTGGGTAGCGGAGTGGTTTTAGTGCTCACCTTCAAATCTGAAGCAAGATCGAAGCGCTCACCAAATCCAAACGAGATCGTCTCCAGACATTTATAATTGTTTATTTACATAAGAGGTCGAAAGCACCTTATTTTACATTTTAAAAATATGCTTAAGTCTTAATATTAAGAATAGGGCCTAAATGGACGAGTCCAGTCCAAGTCATGATGGTGACTAAGACTGCAAAGGGAAGGAAGGTACAATTATAGTAATGTTATTAGTTTCCTACCCATTAAAGTGTTTTAGGCTTGAATAACTTGTGTCTTCTATATTGGCAAACATTAAATACTTGGACTAAAGGCCTGAGCATTTTATGACATTTCTCCCAGAAGGGTTTTGTTTAAAATAGCTAAGTTTGAGTTCAAATTGATGGTAAGTTACCTATTAATTTGTGGATAGCGCCACCTGTTTTAGATAGGCAAATTATTTAATTGTCATATTTAACTTCCAATTCAATATAAAAGCAAGCAAAAATATTGGAAAATATGGAAGCCTAGACAGAATGGAAACTGTTCTTAGGTTTGTAACTTCGTATTTTTTTCTTGTTCTGCCCACTCATATTGTAATAATAAACTAAGTAGTAATATTTTTTCTACTTACCATGTCATATTTTAATTATTCGTACAGGCAAAAACAATAACATCTTAATTTGTGTCGTCTGTCAGAGTGTCGAGCTGAGCTGGAGTTGAACTTGTACGTAGCTTGGACGGCTGGACGCTTGTACTTTGTACGTTCCCCCCAAGCAAGCCGTCGCGTCGGCTGTGTCGTCACCTCCCCTACCTCCCCTTCATAACCCCACCACCCGACTTAGTTGTGCACCACTGTGGAAGGTCGTGCCGCTAGACGCTAGTCACTCACAGCAGCAGGCAGCAGACAGGCAACCAGCAGTGTTGCCAACCGACCTCTTTGGTTTTCCCCGCATGGAACGACGGAAATCCTCGATTTTCCTCGCAAGGATTCTAAAATTACTCCCAAAATCCTCGATAGCATCTAAAGATTAAAATAATTTGAAATTTCCCCATATTTACATGATAATATACGTTTCCACCTATTCTTTTTTTACTAGAGGTGCAAATTACCAAACAAAGATGCATTAACCAGATTAACCTATCGTACTTTAAAAAATACCCCCGCCGCAGCAAACCTGCAGACTAAGCGAATTTCCATTTGCCTGATTGGATTTAGACTAAAATGTCTCCTTAAAAATATCACATTTATTCCCTATTTAAATAGAATCAGTTTAACACATACTTAGGTTTGCTGCAACAGGGAGGGTAAAAGTGTTTTTTTATGTAAAATGTTAATAGTTAGTAAGAAATAAAAACATTTTCCAAATTTGGGCAAAATATGTTAATAAACAAGCACACTACAACGGTTTACTTATTCTCCATAAGAATAACATGGGAATTTTAAATTAACAATTTTTTGGAATTTTCTCCGTAACCATTAGGCGCATTATAACGCTTCAATATACTAAATTATTTGTTTTTTTAAGCTCTACAAAATAGTTTGGAAAGAAATTTCAAAATTTTATGTTTTTTGGGTAAAAAATAGGAAAAACCCATTTTTACCCCATAAAAGCCCCCATAAACCCCTGTTCCCATGGTCCGATCATGCTGGTTCGCGAACTCGTTCGAATAAACGTAGGTTTACACGTTTGTACCAAATTTCATCAAAATCGGATCATTTTTGCTCGAGTTATCGCGCTAACGGACACATATATATATATATATATAAATATATATATATATGAATTTGAACGGATGGTGTTTTTGGCCTCTAGGGACCTCAAAACGAAAAAAAAAATCGGTCCCGGGTCCAGGTCTTACCATGAGTACTACGGTAATAGCTTATTCCCTATATGGGAAATTCGCTAAAAAATTAGGGGCTCTGGTAAATAGTATGTGTGAGTATTGGTCTAGCCAATAGCCATAGACCAATCAACACAATGGAATATATTTAGGCCTATCTATGATTTAACGCATGCATTATAATCAATGGTAAAAGTATGTTTTCCATCCCTGTGCCCTGACATTTTTGTCAAATCTGAATAAGTAGTTTATCTTGGTTAATTTGTGGGTGTGCTGATGTCGACGTCGAAATTCTTTAATAAATCATAAACTATTTTTTTTTAGGGTATTCTAATTTAGGTAAGCTCGTAATCACGCCTTATACGTGGCCGTGGCCGGGTCGTGTCTTAATACTATGCAAATAAGAAAAACCCCTGTGTTTATACGGTACCTGAAAAAATACATTATACATTATATAATACTTATAATAATAATAATATTTGTTATTAACTTTGAAAATTAACAAATTCTAAATTATTGAAATGGGGTCGCCATTTTAGGTACGTATTTTTACCCAAATTTGAGTGAAAGATGAGTGTAGAATGGTGTGAGATGATCTGTGTAACTTTGTTACTGACTAATATTTCATCAGCCAGGATAATTGATTTAAAGTCCAATCATCATGAACAGCTGAGTAATAAATCATAATTTGTTAGGTTCTACCGGGTTCTACTACGTAGGCCTACGTGAAAGGAAATTTGAACTGAAGGCAACCAACAAACGACAAGTTTCTGTACAGGTGAAAATGCTAAAAAGGTGTGGTAGTTTATTGTTAAACACATATCGGCCCCAGTCATATCCTCAGTAGTTCAATTCGAATTCACATTCACTTCATAATTACAGGCTTATAGCACACAGCTCAGCTGAGCTGACAGCGACAGCTGGAGCTGAGCATAGCATTACTTCACCTCACTTCAGTCAGTCCAGTCCAGTTTCCAGTTCGGCAGTTAGTTAGTTTTAAGTTCACCCTCATTTCATTGTCTTCTTCTTCATCTACTTGTTCTTAGATTTGATTGGTTGATTCATTGTATCATTGATGATTGACTTTTTTCAGTTGCGGACGCTGTTCATTCAATGCTTAGATTCAGAGGGATTTTCAATATATTTTTAAAGAGACCTAGGCACTGAGAATACTCGATTATCAGAAAAATCCTAGGTGCTTTACCTGAAAATCCTCGAAAATACTCGCAAAATCTGAATCCTCGCATAAATCCTCGCAGGGTCTGGAAATCCTCGAAAAACGAGGATTTTCCCCGCAATTGGCAACACTGGCAACCAGACACTCAGCTCAGGCACGGCCACCTTTAACTACAGGCCGCGGCACAACACTACAATAGACTCTGGCCATCAGCTCCCATTCCCGTCTGCTCTCGGAGCAGGGCCCCGCGTAAGACGCTTAGCGTCTCAAGCGTCCAGGGGCTTCTTGGACAATTGGCCTATTGTGCATTAAAATCAATGCTTAGCAGCCACTAAGCGTCCATTTCTCATTGATGGACGTAACAGACACGTCTTCAATGTAATCAACATGGACAACGTAATCATGGACTTAAATGTCTAGACGCAATAGTCGCGGCCACCAGTGATCTCGTCTGTTCCCAGAGCAGACTCAGCGTCTCAAGCGTCAGAGGCACTTCTTTCTTAGGCAACGGGCTCAACGAAATCAAAGCTTAGCAATCACTTATATGAGCGTCCATTTCTCAGCGACGGACGCAACAGACGCGTCTGAAGAGATCGTCACAGAGCGGGGATCGCCGGGTATCGATCGCTTTAGATCCCATCACATCCAACCAAGAACGTGTCTATTAATATTGACAGTTGGCTGCTACGTGACTGTAGTGTATTAGTGCTCTTATTATTAGTGTTAAGAACAAACTGTTGAAAATTCTGTTGATCGAAGAAAAATATGAGAAAATTCTGGACATTGTAAGTGAACCTCGATTGTGTACTCACAGTCTCTGTGTAAGTCGTTTAGTGCAGGATGAGCATACACTGCTTCAATCAACTTTTCATCTTCGTAAGAGAAAATAAGACTGTGCACTATTCTTGCAAGACATCGAAACTTGAGAGCACGGGATACAACACTGCAATAGACGCTGGCCACCATCAGCGACCCTGTTTGCTCCGGAAGCAGTGTCCCGACAGCGTCTCAAGTGTTAGGAGCTTTTTGGGCAACGGGCCCATTGAAATCAATGCTTGGAAGTCTGAGCGTCCATTGCCAGCGTCTATGGCACGTCTTGGACAACGAATGGAGAGTACAACAGGAACAGGAGGTAGAATTGGCACTGAATGAGAGAACTGAGAGACCCACGTTGGCCGCCATATAGGTAGGTATTACCACATAGTATTTGTTTTTACTTAACTAAGTATACATTGGAGCTAGGGGAGTAGAGGTTTGTGGGTTTGTAATATTCATGAGCCAATGACTGGTATCAACATAAAAAAAATGACAGTGTGTGATTTTTTAGTAGAATTGCCGTTTTTATTATTACTGGATTATCATTATTAATCGAGATGGGGATGCAACCTAGGTGCATATTTTATCCCAAATATGAGTGTAGAATGGTGTAAGATGATCTGTACAGCTGTTGATGATCGGCTGTTTTATTAGTCAGGACCATTTTAAAGACCAATGATCACTAACAGGTGGATCCAGTTTGTTATTCTGAATCGAATAACATGGTCAAAAGGGTTTTAATGCAAAATAAGACTAATAATAAGGAACGTGAATATTTGTAATCTATAAAAGTATATACATTTATTTTACACAAAAGGGATATTCAAAATAATACTTTTAAGATAAGGCACAAGCTTCAAGCAAAGGGTAAGATATATCTCTTTAATTTTTGTAAATCTTATGTCTGAATAGAAAAAATCTGCTATTTGATTATTAAGATTTGTCAATGTATTACAATAAGTGGGTTTTATTTCTGTTTATCAATGATGGGGTATCACAAAATTATACTATAGTTGATAACATGAAACCAAGATTATTATAGACATTATTTTTACAATTACATTTCAAATAAAAGTTTATTCAAAAATACATGTGTCTTAGCATTAATTAAATTTTATGATAATCGTTTGATGTACCCTTGGGGTCAATAATTAATATTTCATAGCAAGATTATAAACTATACAATCAATAAACAAATAATAAAACACAAATAACAATTTGTCAATAAATAACAATTAATTTAAGATATAAATTATAAAAATTTTGTAATATAAACATTGATTTGAAAAATACTAATAAGTAGCCTACAATAATTATAGATACCAACAAAAATTAATTGTTCCATAAAACAGCAATAAAAAACAATTTGGAAAAAAACTGAATATAAAAAAGTAACACTACTGATAATTTTAAGTATGTTAACACTGTACATGAGGTAAAGTTTTCCCAATGTTTTAAACCAAACCCAAAAATTAACACAATACACTGTATAATGGGTATTCCAAAAAAGTAGTTAAAAAACTTACACAATATTTTTACTACTTTACGACACAGCCAAGAGCATATTAAAGTATAATGTAATTTCAAAAACTCACTTAGAAAAACATTTTTTATCCAACAAAATATTTTAAACAATCCTAATTCCTAATGATAAATCACATGTAAAAAATATATAGCAACCTTAGAAACATTTAACAAACTTTTCAACAGCACATTGTGATATTACTTTTACTATATTACATTATATTACATTACTATTTGAAAATATTACTGATAATACACCAGATTTGTAACTAAAATGATTTTACAGGAGTAACTCCATCATACAATCATTCAAACTAATAAATAAAATAAAAACTCTCAAAATATCTTTGAGGGTAAAATAAATACATGCAAAAAAGTTGAGCATTTAAGTCAATAAATTACACAAAATGTGAAGTGAAACGATTTTAGATATCCACTCAATCTTATATATCCTAGATTTCATGATCATATCCAAACTAACTGTCAGACATGTCTGATATGGAAATTGACAACATAGTCTGCATTGGTCCGCTGAACACTGATGGCGAATGGGTCAGTCGGATGAAACGTGAATGCAACAAGACGTCTGGCTGAGGGAGGAGCACTCTTGCCGAGGACTCCTGCGTAAATACGGAACTTCAGAAGTCCTGAATCTCGGGAGTAAAACCTGTAAAATTGTTAACCGTTAGTTTTTTGTTATTTAAGCTTTGATATCTATGCTTTTAAAATAGAACTGCTATCTGGGTACGCATTTTAAGGTGTATATAATTTAAGAATGTGAGTAAAAAGAAATGAGAAGGTATAAGTAACGTTATAACTGACTTAGATCAACAGTTTATTAAACCAGAATCATTATTTATTATTTAACACTTCATTGGTGTCTTTAATTTTAAAACATGATCAGTGAGACGGTGACACACATTGTTCTCGGTTTCGGGTTCGGTGATCCCGGGTGTTGAAACATTAGACAATTGTTTTTATACTATATTAATATAAAAACGTATTAAAACCATGTATAATCAATAAAATTGTATCAATAAAAAAACCACACCATCATTGACACGCGGAGTTTTTTCCTGGTGTTGAAATATTAGCCCAACTACTTTTGTACAGTAGACCTCTTAACCGACCTCGCATTAACCGATAATCCGATTATCCGCCCTTGATTGTAAAATATTACAGTTTGTTTTAACCGCCCTTGCTTTGAGAGCAGTTCGGTCGAACCGCCTTTTTCTATGAATATTGGCATTTCCGCTCCCACGCTCGGTGATGGGAACTATACGCTTATCTCCACAGGATGTGACTAAGATAAGATAAAATATTTTGTATTTACGCCTATCCCAAAAAATATTCCATATAGCCAGTTTGTCATCATTGTTTGTAGCGCAAGCACATCTGATTTTTTATCTGTTCGGTAAATTTATAAAATCGTAAAGTGTGTTAAGATTTTTATAACAGATTATCTTATCGCTAGAGTAAACAAACAACGCAGCTTGTAAGGAGGGCAGGGGGGGTTAACGACTTCAAGGTCAAGATAGTTTTTGTGACTCAAGCTTCCAGTGAGAGGCTATAAATAAACATCCTTGTCTCGTAACAAAATGGTTGCTTGTATCTTTAATTTTGTCAAAATTTTCTTTATTGTATTACAATAGATTTGAGAAGCATCAATTAATATTACCGTAGTAAAGTTATTAAAAAATAAGAATTATAATTGACCCTTGCCTACAGCTATAATTTATTCCACTGAAAGTATTTGACATAACCGTGTTTTGTGTTTATTTGTGATATTTCTATCTTTATAAAAAAATTAAATAAATGTAGTTTATTTTATAAATAGTGCAAGTACGACTTCAAAATATTGCTTATACAATTCCAAACAGCAATTAATTATTTTATGATTTTAGGGATTGCCCGTTTTAACCGACCTTTTGAGTTATCCGACCTAGGTCTGGTCCCATTAGGGTCGGTTAAGAGGGGGTCTACTGTATACATATAATAATACAAAAACGTCTTAAAACCCCTTAGAATCAATAAAATTGTACATGGAATCAACAAAACTCTTAATTTACATATTTATAAAAATACTAGCTGACCCGGCGAACTTCGTATCGCCTAAGTTATAGGTTTCCCCTAAGACAGACCGATGGAAAGAAAGTACCGTTACGTTTAATTTTCAAGATGATCTCGTTCGCATCGCTCAATCACGTCCTGGTTGAAGTTCGTTCGCTACGCTCACTCACCTTTGGGTTTCAGCTCGTTCGCTACGCTCACTCACCTTTAGGTTGGAGCTCGTTCGCTGCGCTCACTTGCCTTCAGGTTAGCTCGTTCGCTACGCTAACTCGCCTCCAGGTTGAAGTTCGTTCGCTACGCTCACTCACCTTTGGGTTGAAGTTCGTTCGCTACGCTCACTCACCTTTGGGTTGGAGCTCGTTCGCTACGCTCACTCACCTTTGGGTTGGAGCTCGTTCGCTGTGCTCACTTGCCTTCGGGTTAGCTCGTTCGCTACGCTAACTCGCCTCCAGGTTGAAGTTCGTTCGCTACGCTCACTCACCTTTTGGTTGCAAATTAGCTGTTGTCATAAATGTAAAAGAAATAATAGTGCTGCACCCTGTTGGTAATCCTTGTAACTTTAATGCTATTGAACATCATAGAACAGAACCAACTTGCTTAATTGAAACAGCTGTTAAGATTCATTAATTCCATTTCTCATAAGGTTAACATGGGAAACTCCAGAGCCACTGGGGCGGAGCCCTTTTAAGAATTTCGAAACGGGAAATAGTTTACGTCCGATTCGCATACCTACAGAATTTACACACCAAATTTCATAACGATCGGTGAAGTCGTTCCGGAGGAGTTTGCAGACAAACACTGTGACACGAGAATTTTATAAAAATATAGATATAGCAAATAAAAACCACAACACCATGGGTGACTCACGGAGCTGGGCTCCATGCTACGCGACTCTTCGGGCTTCAACTGATTGATTATAGTCATTTTGTGGGGGAGATGTGAGATCAAAATAATGATCAATTGGTTCCTAGAAAGATACACAACTCCTAGAGCTGCCGGCTTGCAATTTCACATATTTTTCCATAAAAGCAAAAGCCCCCCGGAGGAAAACTCTGTGGTGTCACTGATGAACGGTTAAAGAGCAATGATCAAGAGTGGCTGGCCGCTGGCTTAGGTTCCAAACCATCAAAAATCAGCTAGCTTTCACAATCTAACATTTGGATTTTTTGCAAGCATATTGTTCACAAGAGAATTACCATAAGTGAAAATTGTCCCCCTTGAAGGTATTATGAAGATTTAACAATAAATTGAAAAACACTAATATATAAAATACCCCCCCCCCCCGCAGCAAACCTGCCGACTAAGCAAATTTCTATTTGCCTGAATCTATAACTTTGCTGAATTTTCTTGACTTTTGTCTATTGCATTTGTTGTAAATGTTGAAGGACAATAAAAACGTTTCTGATTTCTGATTTCTGATTATATATAAAGCCAAAAGTACCCATGAACTTTTGAGAAAACTACAAGTCACACCCCCATAAACCATATACTTAAAATGTTTGTCATGACGAGAAACATTGTGCAAAATTATCATTTTTTCATAAATTACCCTTTACGGTCATAATTGCTTTCCAAAGGGAACTTTCCATATACTTAATGTTAAAAAAACCTCAGCTGTTCTCATTTGTATGTTATTCTTTCAATTTATTACCTCGTTAAAATCTGTTGTGATTATTTGTTTGTAATGCTGTATTCTGTTATGTTTATTTCAGCTTAACTTAACCAATCAATAGTTTCTTATAATACTTATGAAGTTAAACGAGTTGAAGCTGTGGGTAACAGCTGGTTGATTTTCAATTAAATCTATTTAAATAACACTATGCTGCTACAAGGGAACTAATTAAGTGTGGTTTTTAGTAAAATATTAATAGTTTAGTATGAAATAAAGAAATTTGCCAAGTATGATCAAAATATATCCATAAACAAGCAAACTACAACATTCTCCATAAGAATAACATAGGAATTAAAAATTAAATTTTTTTTTGAATTTTCTCCGTTACCAATAACTGTACAAAAACACTTTGATATACTGAATTATTTGTTTGTTTTTAATCTCTTTAAAAAGTTCTAGAGATAAATTGGGAAATGTTTTGTTATGAGGGTCCAAAATTAGAAAACCCCATTTTTACCCCATAAAACCCCCAGTAAAACCCCATTCCCATGGTCCAATCATGCTGGTTTGCGAACTCATTCAAGTTTATCCCGCCTAACACCTTTGAACCAAATGTCATCAAAATCGGACAAAAATTACGCGAGTTATCGCGTTCACGGACACATATATAACTCTCTCTCTCTCTCTCTCTCTATCCCACTGTATATATATATATGTCTATACAGTATTATATAGGTATATATCTTCTGTATACATCAAATCCAATGTATGTTTGTTTGTTTGTTTGTCCTTTATGGACTCCAAAACCACTCGACAGATTGTAATGAAACTTTCAGGCATTTTTAAGCATTATTCAAGGATGGTTTGTGTGGAAGTTTGGTGCAGATCCGCCAAAAGGGCTCCGCCCCAGTGGCTCTGGAGTTTCCCATGTTAACCTTATGAGTACTCATATTTAAATGGAATTAAAGAATCTTAACAGCTGGTTCAACTAAACAATTTGATTCAGTGATGTTCAATAGCATTAAAAAGTTAATAGGTTTACCAACAGGGTGCAGCACTTTTTTATTTTTTTTTATTTATGACAACAGCTAATTTGCAACCAAAAGGTGAGTGAGCGTAGCGAACAAACTTCAACCTGGAGGCGAGTTAGCATAGCGAACGAGCTAACCTGAAGGCAAGTGAGCGCAGCGAACGAGCTCCTACCTAAAGGTGAGTGAGCGTAGCGAACGAACTTCAACCAGGACGTGATTGAGCCATGCGAACGAGCTCATCTTGAAAATTAATTAGCATTTGACATAAAACCACATTAGGACAGGACGATGTCTGTCGGGCCAGCTAGTACATATATAAAAATTTAAACGAATGGTGTTTTTGGCCTCTGGGGACATCAAATTTTGCACTCAGACCTTCACTTTCACCCATATAAAATAGCAATCGTCCAAAAACTTCAGCAAAATTCGTCGAATAGAGCGCTCAGACATGCCATGAGCAGCAGCTTGTCCACGCGCCGGGCGATGCGGGCTCGTTAGCACTGTTTGTCGCACTCGCTCCACGTTCTCCGGCGTCCTCACTGACCTTGGACGGCCTGTAGGCCTACGTTTTGCAGTTGATCCTGTGGATCTAAAGGTATCCACCCACATTTGATGGTGTTTCGGGATGTGATAGGTTCCCCACGAGCCACATTAAAATGCCTACGAAACTTACGTTGCGTATCAACAACAGAATTGCCATTTTTAAAATACGCCTCAACGACAAACGCGCGATGTATACCGGTCCACTGCTCTATGGCGACTGAAATGTCATCTTTGGCCTTGAGAATGAGCCGCTCCCCACCACCCTCCTCCACTTGGCTGCCGGACTGTACTCGCTTGAAAACCGTCAGATATTTCTGCTGCTCCCTGTATTTGTGCAGTAATAAAACCTTACCAAAATTTATGACATATTTATTTATTTTTTAATTATTTTCATAAACTATAGAAACTTGTATGAGTCAATATCATAATAAAATATACATAAATATCATGTACAGAATGTTTCATTATATATAGGCCTATACATTTTTTATAAAATCCTGTCTACTTTTTAGAAATAAGTATTGTTTGTTGTAAGTTTATTTGTGATTTATGTGTTTATAATATGACTCAGCTGACTGGAAACAGCCAAGTCCGCAAACAAAGAAAACAAGAATTCAATTACCTAGTAGCAGAATGCCAACCCAACAAAAAATGATACAGGCGAGTTAGCAGAATAGCCAACATCTTAAACTTTACATCTAAGTAAATCCGTTGATTATGAGCTTGAATATGTGTATTACTGGATCGGTCATTTAGGCCATGTTTACACAAGGCCAGTAGAGCAGGCAGGTTAAGGGACAGGTTGAGAGGAATGCAATACCTTATAGGATGTTCGCCACAAGCCTTAGGCCGTTCCATGACTGAGACCCACTTGTCATCGTAGCTGAACAGCGAGAGGTCGAGGTAAGGAGAGGACGAGTAACTCTGAGCACTGATAGGCAGTTGTGCCAACATACGCTTGGTAGCCTCTGTCGGACCACCAAACCTCGCACTCACGATCGTCTGTTTGAACCTCTGCTGGGCTAGCCTGTCGATTTGTAAACTAAGTAAATACCTTATCTCTATTTCCTTTTAGTCAATGTTAATTAATAATGAACTTTAAAGAGTCTTCATTGTGTTTTATTTATTTTTTGTTTATAAACAGAACGAGTTTATTTTTCTAAAATATCTTACCTTGCATAAAGATTATTAGATGGGGAGCAAGTGAACTGTGATTCAGAATGTAACTTGGCATTTCTAAAGTGATCACAAAACTGTTCAAAAAGTTTCAGGAGTTCTTCAGAAGTATTTTCGTATACAGCCAGAACCTGGAAACATAACATTTAATGGGTGCAGTAAAAGAATAAAGTAAAAAATAAGTAAATATTAAATAAATTAATAAATAAGTCAAGCTAATAAAGGAACTAATGAGCTTATCAAAAGGGACTATTGAATTATTAATTTTTTAATCTTATAAGGTACCTAATAGAATAAAAATTCTCTTGTTGCACACACTTATTTTACAAGCTATTTAAATATTTTTTTTTATTGAGGTAAATATTATTTTTGGTAAAATTTACAATGGTTTTAGAATGGCTTACAAGATAAGCGATCCATGTGACTTACCGTAACCTATAACGGTACCTTACTGTCATTAAATGACGGCACATACCTACTTATTATTTCCCTTATCAAGTTTAGGCTTAACTTTTGCTTAACCTAAAATATTCATGAAATAAAGAGGAAGACATTAAGTCAATAGTGAGCTTCGTTTAGCTTAGTTTTATGATCAGTTGTTCAATAATTGCTCCCTGCTTTATGCGATGTTTGTATCCAACAAAACAAAATTAAAGGAGAATAGAGCTAGTGAGTGAAAATTTAAGTACTAGGAGTGCTGCGGCACCATTACATCTTGCAACCATGTATTCTATTGTCAATGCTTCAACTAAGTTAACTGTTCAATGGTTCCTCCGCCAGCCACTTCCATCACTAGAGGTGTTTTTGCTTTTCTTTTGCATATTTATACAATTTACATCAATTTTTGAAAGCTGGTTGTTTTAATACACCTGGCACATTGGCCACCTTTTTCAGCAGACGACACAATGACGAACAACCTCTCAAACTTATTTCCTACCTACTTGGGGATATGTTGGTCGAGTTCTCATACGAAAATAAATTTCCACTCAAATTGCCAGTTTATATTACACCACATTTCCTCTTGTCTTTTAGACGGATTATCGACCTAAGGCCCCAATCTGAACGTTTATCAAAGTAGAAAAAAAACATTGCCCATGCACTAAGCCATGCTAGGTCGCGATCAGGCGTTGCCTGTATGTTTAACAGGCTATACAACTCTGTAAAAGACTTACATAAGCTAGGCCTATATAACTCTAGGAAAATATGATTCACCACGATAAATAGGATTTCAACAATTAAACCAATGGGTATTGAATGGGTCATATTGAATGTGAATGTGACTAAACGAGTTAAACATATTTTTCTGTGTTAGCCTTAGTTACATAGTCTATGGGCTAAGTTAGGTATCTTGAGATTGTAACATAACTAAGACCCTAAATATTAATAAAATTACCCTGCAAAAGAAAACAAAACAATTGAGAAAGCACTAATTAAGTATGTAAAATACCTGAGCCGAATTCATGTTATATACTACAAAGAATGAAGGCTGAGAATTAGGTTCTGTAGCTTTCAAGGTGACGACATCTTCACAGGCATACTTCAAAAGGAGATGTGATTCATCTAACAACTGCATCTTCCAAATTCTGAGACTTTTGAGCTGCAATTGAGTTAAATGTTTATAAATGTGATTGTTTGAATATTTACAATTTACAAACACAATACATAAAATGTGTTTAAAAATATCACTAAGTTATTGAATCCCAAATTGCCAAACAACTCTTCTTTTGCCCCTTTATTTCAGGTATCTACGCATTTAAACTTTTTTTCTGTCAAAATGGTAAAAATACTGGTCTTTTCTATTGTCAACCGTTTAATTTATTCTGTAAAGGTAAGTTTGTTCAATTTTATTATTAATAAAAAGTAAATAGTTTATAATATTAAAGGAACTACAATCCAATGTGTCCGTAAACCGGTGATGAACCTCTGGGAGCCCAAAACTCTTGCCCCAGGGCGGTACTGGTGAGCAGGCCTAAGTCACTGGTGCACCAGTACCTACATGTTTCCAGAAATATGCAAATAGCTTTTTCAGTTTGTCTTTAGCTCAGGAATGATTTAAAAGTCAGTTTGGGTTTGGGGACATCATGTGAGGGCTATTTACTTTGTCCCACAATCTCTTAGTGTAATCATTCACAATATGTTTGATAAAACTGTGTGGCATAATACAGAGTTTCTCGGCTCAAGTGAACCAATTTAGCTAACTTTTAGCGAATTTCCCATATAGGGAATAAGCTATTACCGTAGTAAGACCTGGACCCAGGACCGATTTATAATTTTTCATTTTGAGGTCCCTAGAGGCCAAAAACACCATCCGTTCAAATTCATATATATATATATTTATATATATATGTGTCCATTAGGGCGATAACTCGACCATAGGAACGGGGGTTTATGGGGTGTTGAGGAGAGTTATTGTATATATTTATGATTTGTGCTTCATTACGTTATATTATTAGCTAATTATTATAAATACTATATTTCATATGTAGTTTTAACTTAGTGTTGTGAAGTAGCAAACATGCATTCTCTTAGGGCAGTTGTCGGCTTTTAGCGCCGGTAACAGAGTAATAAACCATCGTCCTTCTGCGAAAGGACGGGCCCTTCCTCACCACTTTTAGAAAGTTGCAACCCCAATCGAGGGTGAGGAAGGTGTCTTTTATTCAGTCATAGTCAGTGTCTCAACTAGCACCACATTGTCAAGTTCGTTTGGCATAGTTTTCGTATAGGACGTGTGAGGCAGATCCCTCCACGTATTTCATTAGTATTAATTCGCATTCAATAGTACATTCACATTAGTTTTTCGTTATAGCATTTTAGTCAATCATTTATACAGTCCACTTATATCATCACATCAATAAATTCATAGTTCGTTTTTAAAGTGTTAGTTTCTTTTATTATTTTCCATAACATTGGTGTACCATCACGCGCCGCAACATGGTCCTATCGAGCCGGATTCGCGATATCGTGCGAGTGAACAGTCATCGTGAACATTCGCAGTGAACAATCGTAGTGACAAGTGTTTTATTCTACTTTGTGTTTTGGATTACCACCATCATCTTCACAAAAGTAAGTCCTCATTCCTTTTCCTTTGTTCAAGCAAGCTAAAATGGCCGAAGAAATGAGGAAGCTTGTCTGTAAAAGAGCTATGATCAAGTCAAAATTAACCAGATTCAAATCTTTCCTTGATAGAGTAGACATAGACCAAGCCCAGGAGTTATCTCAGATGGAAGATAGGATGTCCATAGTTAGGGATTTGCTATCGGAGTTTGATTCAGTACAGTCAGATATAGAAATGGCAGACTCCGATACTGACTATGATTTGGAGAGAGAGTCATTTGAAAATCAATATTTCGAACTTTTAGCTAAATCAAAAGCTTTACTTCCCAAACCAACAGAAAATAGTGAATCATTGCCACCAAATAGTCACCAATCCTCTGTAGCATCCCAAGTTAAACTACCTACAATAAAAATGCCCACGTTTGAAGGAAGATATGAAGATTGGCTTCATTATCAGGAACTGTTTAGAACTCTAATTGATGACAACAACACTCTCTCACAAGTGCAAAAGTTTCATTATTTAAAATCTTCCCTTCAAGGCCAAGCCCTTAAGGTTATAGATTCGCTTGAGGTATCCTCATCAAATTATGAGACAGCTTGGAATCTATTGAAAAGTAGATTCGAAAACAAACGACTCATTGTAAACAACCATGTCTCTTCAATTTTTGACCTGAAGAGAATAGATAAAGAATCTGGTGTAGCTCTTCGTCACCTTCTAGACTCTTTAAATCAACACATTAGGGCCCTAGCTTCTTTAGGTCAACCCACAGAGCATTGGGACTGTTTGTTAGTACACATAACAACTAGAAAACTTGACTACAACACAGTCAAGCTCTGGGAAAATCAGCAAGTCACGACTGAAATCCCAACGTTCAACGAACTTTCGAAATTCCTAGAAACCCGTTGTAATGTTTTGGAATCACTTGAAACCAATAGACCGAACACATATAGCTCCAAACCCCCAACATTGCCATTTCCGAAACCACAACATCCTCTGAAATTTACGCAGTCTCTAGTAAGCAGCAGTAGTACACCAACTTGTACTCTGTGTGATAGCAATCACAATTTGTATCAGTGTGGTAAATTTCTAAAACTCACTGTATCAGACAGGCTTCAAACGGTCAAAAAACTAGGTTTGTGCATAAATTGTTTTTCAAAGGACCACCTGATCAAAGACTGCAAATCAAGTAGTTGCAAAACATGCAGCAAAAAACACAATACACTTTTACACTTCAATGTCAACCCTTGTACATCATCCGAGACACAATCAAGATCTGCTCCACCCCCAGCAACACTGACGTCACACGTTACGAATAATCACATACTACTCCCAACAGCCGTAGTAGATATAGAAGATGCAATTGGAAACAAGCATCAATGTAGGGTACTACTGGATTCTGCTTCCCAATCCAACTTCATCACAGAAGATATGGTTAGGAAATTACACTTGTCCAAACAGAAATTCTCAACTCAGATAAAGGGTGTAGGTGAAAAACTTTCATCTGCAACTCACGTCACCAAATGTACCATTCAATCAAGATGGAATTCGTACAAATCAACACTAACCTGTCTCGTGTTACCTACAATAACTCAAGACCTACCCCATTCTTTTGTTGAAAGAAAATCCTGGAATATCCCATCTTCACTTACATTAGCAGATCCACAGTTTAATTGCCCCGGACCCATTGATATACTAGTTGGCGCCGAGTTATTTATGAACCTTCTGGGAATCGGACAAATGCGGCCCCAGAAGGGAGCGCCCATCTTTCAAAAGACTAGCTTAGGATGGGTAGCTTCAGGAAAGGTTTCAGATGGACAAACTACTGAAACTCATAGATCGCTTCATCGTCTGGACACAGAATCAAAAATGGGAAGTACACCTCCGAGTAAATGGTTCAAAGGATTACGTAGCCTTCCAGAAACAGCTTCAAAGATGGTTAATCGAGTCAAAATGGACATCAGTGACCACCAACATCACTTCTGGTCAACTTGCGCTCATACGAGAGGACAACCTACCGCCGATGAAGTGGGTCACCAGACGCATCACAGAGGTCCACCCGGGAGACGACGGCCGAGTACGAGTTGCAACCGTCAAAACAACCACTGTCAACCGTCTATGCGTCCTACCCGTGGAGTGACGTCACACACTGCACCAGCTGGGAACGACCCTTGTCAACCATCTGTGTCAAGTGTCAGTGAATGAGTCATAAAAGTGATAGTGTAAATATTAAAAATCTCCAAGTCAAAGTGAAAGTGTAACATAGAAATCTACATGATAATTGTAATTTAGGAATTTTGGATACATCAACGTTTCAAATATAAAGCTTTAGTTATATTTTGGTTATATTTTTAATAGTTGTAGTCTTTTGCATTGTCATTTTTCATCGTTTTATTAGTAGTTTTGTTATTGCATTTTGAATAACCAATCAGTTCAATCGTTATTATTATTATAATTTATCGTTGTTAGGGTTAATTAATCGATTTTGCACATAATTAATTGTTGTATTGTGTTTCATTTTCTCGTTCACCTAATCATTTATCTAACTTGTATGTATTCAAATGGCTATGAGTTGCGTATAATTCTTTGTGTTATTGATTGTTTGAATTAGCATAGTTGTCATGTCGTATATAAAAATGTTATCATTTTAGTAATTTTTCTGTCGTTTTGCAAGATTAGTGGCATATTCATTCATTATCACTGTTTTTCATATTGATTACATCATCATGTTGTTGTTTTCTTGTTTAAATGTACTTAAATATTCGTGTTTGTTATGTTGTTCAGTCAATAAAATGTATTCAATCGTTGTAAATAGGATTTGTAGCATTGTGTTGGATACTAAAAAACCATAGAAGCGTGATTCTAAATATTTTTGCACTTAACAATTTAACTTTATAGTCTTATTATCTTGGTTTGTACAGTTTAGTGTGTCATTGTTAGTGTCATTTATTAAGTTATCGACAAATCATTATCATTATCTGATTTTCCATGTGTATATTCAAAGCTTTATCATTTATCATTTAACTTGTTTTCATTGTAGAAATCATATTCGTATTTAGCATATAAGGTATTTTGCAATATTTTATACGTACTTCACTAGTGTCGATTTGTGTCATTGTGTTTATTCTATCATTTCAACATGGTTTAAATCATTTGTTTGTAAATGCAGCAGTCTTGTAATTATTATTGTATCAATTTAAATTCAATTAGATTTTGCAATATAGAAATAGTTGAAAGATTTACACTTTCAAGGGGGGAGAATGTTGAGGAGAGTTATTGTATATATTTATGATTTGTGCTTCATTACGTTATATTATTAGCTAATTATTATAAATACTATATTTCATATGTAGTTTTAACTTAGTGTTGTGAAGTAGCAAACATGCATTCTCTTAGGGCAGTTGTCGGCTTTTAGCGCCGGTAACAGAGTAATAAACCATCGTCCTTCTGCGAAAGGACGGGCCCTTCCTCACCACTTTTAGAAAGTTGCAACCCCAATCGAGGGTGAGGAAGGTGTCTTTTATTCAGTCATAGTCAGTGTCTCAACTAGCACCACATTGTCAAGTTCGTTTGGCATAGTTTTCGTATAGGACGTGTGAGGCAGATCCCTCCACGTATTTCATTAGTATTAATTCGCATTCAATAGTACATTCACATTAGTTTTTCGTTATAGCATTTTAGTCAATCATTTATACAGTCCACTTATATCATCACATCAATAAATTCATAGTTCGTTTTTAAAGTGTTAGTTTCTTTTATTATTTTCCATAACATTGGTGTACCATCACGCGCCGCAACATGGGGGGTTTTAAAACATTTTAAAACAAAACATTTTGCAATTTCTATTTAAACCGTTTTGTAGAGCTTAAAAAGAGAAATAATTTAGTAAATTAAAGCGCTGTTGTATGCCTAACGGTCACGGAGAAAATTAAAAAATAGTGTAATTTAAAATTCCCATGTTATTCTTATGGAAAAAAATTAAAATTGTTGTAGTTTACTTGTTTATGGGCATATATTGATAAATTTTGGCAAATTTATTTATTTCATCCTATAGTATTGACGTATGGTCAAAAAACACTTTTTACCTTCCCCGTAGCAGCAAACCTAAGCACTCGTTAAATCTAATGTTATTTAAATAGGGAATAAAAATGTCTTATTTATGGAAATATTTTAGTAAAAATGTAATCAGACAAGTTGAAATTCGCTTAGTCTGCAGGTTTACTGTGGCGGGGGTATTTCATATTGAGAAGGGCAGAAGTTAACTTCATAGGACAACCTCTTTATTTTTAATATGCTTTTTGGGATGGTTTCAAGTTTTAAAAATATGACCACAATTTTCCAATATGACCATCAACTTTAATATTTCTTATGGAACTAACTTTAACTTATTTTATGATTGTTATAGATTGGAAATGTGATTTTAAAACTTTTTGTATTCTTGACATTTTTTCTCTAAGAAGCTACCAGTTTTTACAGCATGGTAAGTTATTGTGCACCTACAAAAAATTGCTTCCAGTTTACTTTTTGCAACCTATATATAACCCATAAAGGCCTAAACGAGTAAGTTTTAAAAGGATTTTGCAAAGAATAAATAGGCCTAGGACGTAAATCTTAAGATTGGATAATATATACATTCTAAAAAGATCATAAATTACATTCAAAATATTGATTCCATTGTTTCCAAAAAGCAGTTCACTTTAAAATTGAAATACCCCCGCCACAGCAAACCTGCAGACTAAGCGAATTTCCATTTGACTGATTTGATTTACACTGAAATGTCTACTTAAAAATATAACATTTATTCCCGATTTAAATAGAGTTAGTTTAACAAGTAGGCCTACTTAGGTTTGCTGCATCAGGGAGGTAAAACTGGTTTTTTTTATGTTAATAGTTAGTAAGAAATAAAAACATTTTCCAAATTTGATCAAAATATGTTCATAAACAAGCAAACTACAACAGTTTACTTTTTCTCCATAAGAATAACATGGGAGAATTTTAAATTTACAATTTTTTGGAATTTTATCCGTAACCATTAGGCGCATAATAACGCTTCAATATACTAATTTTTTTGTTTTTTTAAGCTCTACAAAATGGTTTGGAAAGAAATTGGTAAATTTTATGTTTTTTGGGTCAAAAATGCGAAAAACCTATTTTTACCCCATAAAACCCCCCCTAAACCCCCGTTCCCATGGTCCGATCATGCTGGATCGCAAACTCGTTCGAATAAACGTAGGTTTACACGTTTGTACCAAATTTAATCAAAATCGGATCATTTTTGCTCGAGTTATCGTGCTAACGGACACATATATATATACATAGGCTATATACAAATATAGGCTATATATATATGAATTTGAACGGATGGTGTTTTTGGCCTCTAGGGACCTCGAAACGAAAAAAAAAATCGGTCCGGCGTCCAGGTCTTACCATGAGTACTACGGTAATAGCTTATTCCCTATATGGGAAATTCGCTACCGGTAAAAACTTTGTATTTCATGGTCTTTTAAGAATGAAGACGTGATTTAAGACTATAGGCCTATTCTCTATGATTCACTCACATGCCTGACGATGTACGATGTTTAAGGTGCAAAAGAAGGCATACCGGTACCGGAAGTGTGATCTATGGTTTGCAGAGTTGAAATCAATTGTAAATTAAATCTAAACCCACACTGAGCAATTAGTCGCTGCCTTAAAAGAACGTGCATCTGGCCGACCAAAAAAAAAAACTATGACAAAGTCGAGGAAATCTGACAATCCTGACAATTGCCCGACGAAGTCTTCTGTTAAACATATCTAAATTGACACTAAAAGATTCGTAAAAAATTGGAATTTGAGCATCCAAAATTCAGTTAAGACATCAGACTAAACTCGCCGATCGCCCTAAGCATACATAGGCTAGGCCTACTAAGTTAGTTTTATGCTCACATGAGATTAATGAAAATCCCTACTGTAGCCTATTAAGTTACATTTTTACAAATTTTATAAAAGAGTGGAAAAAAAATGTTTTTGTTTCCCTTCAATTTGACGTTTAAATTGTTTAACCATTTTTTAATAGTCCCCAAGCAACGGCCCTTCAAAATCCCAGCATTATTTTGGATACCCTGTACGGTACCTACAGTACATATCAACAATACAGCAACAGACACTAAGTATAGTTCAGTAGCAAATAATCCTGTAAATAATTCATCACTCTAAAGAACTGTGATACAGGGTACTTTGGATGACCTAGCTGCCTAAGTGCTGTATATATTAGGTATGCCAGATACTTAGCCAGAGCTATATGTACTCACTTGGTCAAAATGTTGACAAAACTTTCGGATCTCCAAGGGGTTCTTTGTTACTTCTGACAACTTCAGAGCTCTTTTGTAAAGGAATACTAACAGTCTATGTTTCAACGAGTTTATTGTGTTTTCTCTATATGGTCTGTAAGTATTATTTCCAGAATGAGATTGAACAATACTTGAAAGCAGGAAACTGTCGTCTTCAAAGCAGAATCTACCAATCTTTCTTATGTCAACAAACATACCATCGATTATATGGAAGACATGAATGGTTTGATGTTGAACTGACAGTACTGCTAGGGTGTCCTTGTATAAATAGAGCCCTTGATTATGTGAGAGAAATATTTTATCCACCTTGAATTGTCTAGAATCACATAATCTCCCGTGTTGTAAGTCCACGATGTGTAGTGAATAGTCTTCCAAAGGTGATCGTGGATTGGGAGTAACAGCTTCATTATTGGTGTAAATTTCGTAAAAATGTGGTCTCAAATCTTCTGGAATGTAAGCAGCAGATCCAACAATAACATATCTTCCGTCATCAGTAAATAAACTGCATTCTCTATTTAACTGTTCACCACTTTGAACTACGTTAACAGTCCATTTAGGTCGAAAAAATCTCTCAAATACCTGATTGCGGATGTGGTCACTTTCAGGGTCATTTTTGTGACCAATATATTCTCCTCTGCAGTTCTCAACCAGATCAGCAGCAGCTGATGAACCTTGGTATTCGTACACTTCCAGAGATGTTTGATCAGATGAGAATGCAATAAAATAGTGGCCATTTGGACTAAATTTTCTTAAAAAACAAGGTGGTTTTTCAACGTTAATTATGGTAAAATTCGGAAATACATTTTGGTGAAAATATCTTGCAACATGGAAATGTGTACCTGGTCTTACAGAACCATAAGTTTCTCTTTTAATCAATCTATTTACAATATTTTGAGGAGGTATTTTCCTGGGTTTTAATACATCACTAGTTATCATCATCCCATGAGAATCCGATTGAACGAACGAGGAAAACCATAATAACTTTACAAAAACCAGAATTGGCCTATGATGCTAGACGCTGCGTAATAATAATGATTAACCTCAAATTAGAAAACGCCGGACACATTGCAATCGGAAAGCGTCTGAATATAAGAAACCTATACTGTAAAATGTATTTTTACACATTTTGAAGAATAAATGTCCCTAGCATAAAATTATTTCATAAACAACTTAAAATATTTATTTTAAATTAATTAATCAGGATTATTTACAAACAAATACAACGTAAAACTTATTTATAAAAGAAATTTGGTCAATTCAATTGTTTCTTCTTCTTCTTCTCATTTGGACGACACAAAGAGGTCAAAGAGGACCTCTAATTAAGCCAACAAAAGACGTGAAAAGATATACACCGTTGATTTTAAAGCTAACTAGCCTGATATTCAGAATGAAAACTTATTTCTAATTTTACAAATAAATGCGTTAAAATTATGCTTGCAGTTTAACTAGGGCTTATAAACGGCTGATGCTAATATTTACTTGATAATTATTTTTCAATTGCCAATCACTGATCCATGCACTATATTGTAAGCATTAAAATGAAATCTCACACAAAATCGGTCACCTTATTACCAAAGCTGCGTTGTTGACCAGCATAGCTGGATAAACTGAGTATTTTTTTAAATATAAATATTAATTATTTACAACAACAAAATAAAAGTATTTTTTAAGGAAATAAATTTGAAATATTCAAAAATAAAAATAAAAACCTGGCGGGTGATCGTGGTTGGGTTGTACGAGTGCCAAATAGGTACAAGATCCTGCGCGGAAGGTGGTTGACATCATCAGCGGTCATTCATTGGGTATTCCGTGGACATCTATACAAGATAGGAATGTTGAAAGCCTCTTATGTAGGAAATGTGGCGAGGAGGAGGATACAGCCTTCAACGTGATATTAGCAAACATCATCTAATTCTGAATTCTAGTAAAAGCAAATGTATGGAATTATATAACAGGAAGAAGCCTGAGCCACCTCCAGTATTGACCTTGAACGGGGTGCCACTTGAGAACTGTAGTAAACCCAAATACCTGCTGAGCCTACACATTACAGAGGACCTTAATTGGGGAACACATTTCGATGCAATACGGGCCAGACTGTCATCCGTCACCTACCTGCTGTTTAGACTATAAAAGCTGCTGGTTGACTCCCAGATTCTCCTTAAGCTTTACTATGGCTGCTTTAATCGCATAATTTCATGTGGTTTGGTATTTTGGGGGTGGTTGTAGTGTAAGGCAAAACGAAGTCCACAGATGGACACACTGTAAACCTCTGTTCCAAGAACTGAACATTTCTCACACTTCCGTCTCTCTTTATAATGGAATCCGCATTACTCGTTAAGAAGAATCCCAATAGTGTTGTTACTAATAGTCTGATCCATAATAATTACAATACAAGAAGATCAAAAAATCCACATCCATCTCAAAATACATTCCACCCTTGCAAGCAAGAGCCCTTACTCCCATAGTAGCCTATCAAAATTTACATCAAATTGCCTCAGTACATCCAAAGAGCCTTCAATAAAAAATTTCAATTTATAATCTGTTAAAAACATATTTAAGTCAAATAGCCTACTACAATGTTGATTAAATATATTTAGGCCATATATGCATTCCCGAAGAGGAATTGAAACCATAGATAATGTATATAAATAGCAAGACAAGTAAAACCTTATGACCTCGTCGCTGATTCGATACCAGTGGGAAATACTCCAAGTATCCAAGTATTTATGTGCCCAGCCCTACAAGGTCTGCCTATGAGAGCCCTTGGCCTATCGACTGGAGATCAAAGGGAAGAACAGGTTACCACACAGACAAAAGGATCTAATGGTTCACCAAGGACCTGGGATTTGACGGAGAATGAGGACCTGTGAGTGGGTGTTGAATAAGCTGTTTCAGCTGTGATGCAATCCCATGGTAACGTCTTGTAAGCCTGGTCCTCTGTTAAAAAAAATGTGTAAATAGCGTCCGAAATTAATGATTGTTTAACTCATTGATATTTACATAGGGAATGTATATTGGGTGGGAATTGGTATTATGATGAATAAAAGCACTATAAAAACTGCATTACTGTACTTGATACTTTTAAGTTCTCCTTAGTCCTTGCCGACTGATCCTTGTCCGTCTGGGAATAAATCGGCCGGGTCTTTATCTGTCGCTTTTACCTTAGACAAACCAACACAAGGGAGTTAATGTTTTGTTTTATCCACGATTTTACCCTGCTCCAATTTTTACTGGATTTTTATTAGTTATTTGGAAAGTAATGTAAAGTTAAGTTGAAAATGGATTGTGAACAAATCATTACTGCATTAATATTTTCCAACGTCGGAGAAGAAAACCATGTCCACTATGGGTTCATCTAAGAACCGCGAGGAAGTGGGGCTGTTTAAAACCTCGGGATCGATCACACCCATAGGTCAAATTATATCAACAAAACTCCCACTTAATATCTAGGTATATTTAACCATTTAACTCAAGGAGTAAATAATTTAAAACTGTATAAACAAAATACATCAAAACTATACGTGCAACTAACTACACGGACGGGACGGCTCCTGGATGTCTAAAATCACGACCACCTTTTACTCCATGTCGCGGCCTGGTAGAATTGGTAACTTCGCAAGTAGTGTTGTTCGTTTCCACTTTGAAGGCCTTGGAGTTTAAGGTGGGGTATTTCTGTAACTTCCTAAATCGATCCTACGATCCTAATTAACGATAAAATATGGTAAGTATGCATAGACCTTTAAAACAATTTTTAAGATGCGGAAACCACCGAAAATTGTTATTTAGTGTGGATTGTGCAAGTACAAGTCATTCATTCATATGTAGTCTACCGAACCGAGGGTTTCCCCTCCCCAACCAGGAGCTGGCCTCTCAGTCTCTTGAGGTCTTGAGGAGACGATATGGCTGTGTGCAATCTGGGAAATCAAATAATCGGGGACCTGTTTGTAAACGGCTGGTCTGAAGCACGGCCGCCTTTAACTACCTCAAGGCCCCTCGCCCACAATACGATTTTGATCGCCCAACACTGTGTCGTCGTAGTTAAAGGTGGCCGTGGTGTCGTTTGACATTAACGTGTTGTGTATGAAGAGCGAGCGATATTGCCATAGATAAAACATACTCGCTTAGGGAATGGGCACACGGAAGGGACTAAGGCTAAAGGTGTAGTGACGTCATATCTCTAGTGGGTAATGTCTTCTCTTGAGGCGACACGATTACCGTTACGAAACGATGTGATTTCAGCAGCGTTCGTGGCATAGTTGGTAGCGGATCGGATTAGTGTGCAGGAGGTCCCGGGTTCGAATCCCGCTGTTAACACTGACTTTTTGTCAACAAATTTTTCATATCAGCAAGTTTGGTTGGTTAGGTTAGGTTATGACAGTTTAATTTTATAATACTACATTTTAAAATTAATTTTATAATTAATTAAAAATTATAAGTAATTATTAATTAGATTTTTATCTTATATAGTTTTTATATTATCAGCAAGTCTGGTTGGTTAGGTTATGTTATGACAGTTTAATTTTAAAAATTAAAAATTTATTTTATAATTTTAAAACAATATTTTATAATTAAAAAGTTAATTTTATAACTAAAAAAAAAATTAATTTAAATTACTGTATTTCAACTTAGCAGTTCTAGCGGCGAACGCTGACACTACAAGACATGTTAGCCTTGGTCCCTCCCGTGTGCCCCACCGACTCCCTTAGTAGATTTCTCATCTTTATGGAACAGCTGAAGACAATTTTATTGTTAGTTCTGTACGGTTTATGTATAGGTCGTGTTTTGTTTACAATTTGTTTCCCGTTATTACAGCCCTTTAAAACCTCGTTTAACCAAATAATACGATCTAGTTATGAACAATAAATTGTCCCCTAGTTATTTAACCAAACAGTAAAGCACAAATCAAGAAATTAACCCTAAAATAATAGAAACCAAATTTTGTCGACACTAGCGCCCAGTGTGGCGTACATGAACTAGACATGAAAAACTAGCTTTAAAATTTACAATGGGATGAGAAGTCTACTTGTGTTGGTTAGTCTATGATATTGCGTTTTTATTGTCACATATTGTTTGCTATGCAATGAGCTGTAGAAGGGAGTATGTTTTATCTATGGCTGTAGTTAAAGGCGGCCGTGGCCATAAGCTCAGTGATATCATGGTGATATCTTGATTATTTCTTCTGCATGCCTTTGCTTCCAAATTTCCAAGTTTCTTTTGCGCATCCTTCTTGCGCATGATTTTTGGAATCGGATTCGGATTTTGTATTATTTCATTATTTGCAGTGTTGCCACTTTTAGGGTAATTACCCTTTTTTAGGGTAATTTACTGGTCTTAGGGTAAAGTTTAGGGTAATGGTAGATCTAGGGTAATTTTAGGGTAAAACTAAAAGTTGGGATAACAATGAAAATTTTACTAAAAACATGAAAAAAACTTCAAAATTTGGCAAAAACGTTCATTACATACTATGGCCAAACCATCATATTCGATTCAACCGGTTTAAATCGATTGCTATGATGAATTTTTCATCAAATTATCCAAATCGATCTTATCAATAGTTGGGAAAATTATCTGTTTTAGAATGTATTCGATTCTATAACACGTTATAGGCCTAATAAAATATGAAATATTATTAATTACTGGGTTTGATATTTAATTATGTGATTAAATTGGTTTAAACTGGATTATTTTACAAATTTTGACAAGAAATTACTACTACGTAAGTTATAGATTAAAGCTTTGGTGGTACCGTACTGTATTTTAAAGATATGATTGTCCAAAAACAGTAGTAATGGGTCGATACTTTTAAAAAATATGATAGTTCTTGATTCGATATTTTTCGTTATACGATAGAGCTGATCAATATCAACATTTTGTTCTTCTTTCGGGTTGTTTTTTAGAATCGAGTATAATTTTACGTAAATTGATTGATATTGGAACTTCATTTAGTATAATTAACCACCTTATGTAAGATTTATATGATTTTAACAATGTTTTATAGCATTAAACGCAAATATTAACATTTAGGGTAATTTTTAGGGTAACTCAAAGTAGATTTAGGGTAATTTAGGGTAATTTTAGCCCGCATTTAGGGTAAAATCGCAACAACGTGGTGGCAACACTGATTATTTGGTTTGGATTTGGGTCGATTCGATTATGGCAGGCGAGAAGTTCGGTGTGTGAATAAATATTATTGTTGATGTTCAGTGGTACAAGGATGCCTTAGTACCATTTTTTAAGTTTGTATTTTATAATTTCTGTGTCTTTAGAAAGTAAAGGTGATATATTTGCTGTAAAATTGTTACCAATGCTGAAACAATTGCAAATGGGCCTTCGAGCGTTTATGCTACTGGCTTCTCGAGTGTGGACTTGTATTTGTTTTCTAATCAAAAAGAAGGTTAGAGCTGTAAGTACCTTACACGACTAAGTAAAATTACTACTTTAGACATTGAAGTAGATTTTTAGAGGTATTTACGATACTGATGTATTGTTGTTGAAGTTTTTGATGTTTGCTTTTGGTAGCCTACTTATCTCCTTTAGCTTTAGCGTACTCAGCCATTCCAGTCTTCTCACTCCTGAAAATATGTAAGTTTCAATAGACCTAGCCTACAATGGTTATATGGCTTACGAGATTCCAAATAGCCTACTTGATGATGATTGGGCCTTGTCTAAGATGAAATAACTCAACAGATTCAAGCTTAAAACTTAGGATAGGCGTAAGTTAGGCCCAAACTTAGCGCAATTTATTCTAGGCTAGGCCTATGTTTTATTTGGTTTAGTCCATTGATAACTTACTTGAGACTGTAAGTTACAGCACAAGCTAAGCTTGTCACCTGGCAATCTAAATCCATTGTCCAATTTTTATACCTGCCAATCTGGTATCTAATTTAGCCTAGGCCTACCTCCCTAAGTTATCCAATCTTATTGTCATTCTGAACCAGACCCGTCCCGATTCTGTCAAGACAGTCGATTTTGGCTCCTAGGCCTAATGCCTGTAATCCGGCGGGAAGGGTCCACGTACCGATTCCTCCCTAACCTGAGGTGGCAACCCTGTTCTGAACTCAATCCAAAAATAACTTAACTTACAGGCTTTACATTGATAGCCTAGGTATAACTTAACCCTCCGAGCGTCACTCGTCGAAAAATCGACACGCGACACACTTTGTGTAGTGTCACGCGTCGATTTTTCGGCGAACGAACATCGTTTACGGCGAAAACTCGATGACTGACTGAATCGGATTGAACTGGATCGAGTTAGGTATCTTTCTTTTCATTATATTCTACGCTTTCTCCAGAGGTCTGTCTCTAAGCGCTTTATGTTCTCCGAGCCGATCGTAATTGTAGCAGACAGCTGACGTGCGTATTTGTAAATAGCTAGGTTACCCTCGGACCGATGACTGATGTGTTTTATTACGTTTATCATTGTTTTAGTGTTAAAAATCAAAAGTAGTGATATACGTGGTGCGTTATAAGAAGATTTAAGTGATTTTGAAGGGCTGGTTGATGATCCTGAAGAAGTAGGTAGTGATATTGATGTAAATTATCAGCCAGATTCCTAGCTATGGTTAGGCTATGCATTCTTAGCTAAACGCTATGTACTGAAATCTGTTTTTTGCCCATAACTTATTTATTTGCAAATCTACTTCCTTATATTATTATATATTTGTAATCCTCATAAAATTTAGAACAAAGTGGCTATTTTTAAATATTTATGGCCTATAATTTATACAATTTCATTGAGCGCGAACTTATTTTTTTTGAAAATTTTCCAAAATATGGGGGGGGGAAATGAGAAAACCCCATTTTTACCCCATAAAACCCATGTTAAACCCCGTTCCCATGGTCCGATCATGCTGGTTCGCGAACTCATTCAAGTTTATTCCGCCTTACACCTTCACACCAAATATGATCAAAATTGGACAAAAATTACTCAGGTTATCGTCTAAACGGACACATATATATAAACATATATACGTTCATAAAAATTTGAACGAATGGTGGTTTTGGATTTTGGGGACATCAAAATGAGAAAGTAAATCGGTCCCAGGCATAGGTCTCACCAGGAGACATTTGGTGTAATAGCTACTTCCCTATAGGGAAATTCGCTAAAAAGATAATTAATTTCTGTTTTTGCCAAAATGTTTGTCTATTTAATACCTTTAAAATGATGCATAACATGACATATGTTTACATTTGAAAATTAGAAGAGATTAGAACTAGTGACCCTCAGTTTTTGGCACACTCTGTATCGGAAAAAAGTATATTGAAAAATATTTTTTTTGTTAGGTATTCCTTGGGGTTGGTTTAGCTGGAAATAATTACAATTTTATTTCATCCTTATACAATTAGCCGTTTTTCCTTAATAAATTTGAGACACCTTTACGTCGGCCTATATAAATATATGAATTTGAACGGATGGTGTTTTTGGCCTCTAGGGACCTCAAAACGAAAAAAGCAAATCGGTCCTGGGTCCAGGTCTTACCATGAGATCTACGGTGATAGCTTATTCCCTATAGGCTACAGTAGACTCCCTCTTATCCGGACACCTTTTAACCGGACTACACTCGGCGGAACCGGACAATTTTTATCAGCACATCTGAATAACCGGACTAGATCGGCAGGAAGACTGAAACAACTGTTCTCGTGGGAAAGATTTGAAACCAGTGATCACGTGTGTAAATACGCTCCTAAATTTAAGTCAAATACTGTATAGGCCTACAGTATGCATTTAAATGGTCCGTTTTAACGAGTTTTTGGGGACGTCGGTTTAACTGGAAAACCCGTTATCCGGACTGGCCTCGGTCCCGAGGAGTCCGGATGGGAGGGAGTCTACTGTATGGGAAATTTGCTAAATATTCCCTTTATATGGGAAATTCGCTAAAAACAAAGATCATAACTCAATTTGATGTTCACATGGAAAAATTTAGAAACGATATATTAAATAAACTGAATCAAAATCGATACGGAATAGGCCTATATTGATATTTCATCTGATAACATATCACAGTTTCTCTGTGGAACTGTTGACGTACGATGATTAATCTTACTAATATTATAAATGTGAAAGTTTGTGTGTTTGTTTGTTTGTTTTTTTGAAGTTCAATCATGCATTAAATATTGGATGGATTGGGCTGAAATTTGGCAAGATGATAGCTCACATTCCTGATTAACATATAGGCATATTCTTATCTCAAAAATCCTTTCTGGCTCCGCCCCAATGGCTCTGTAGTTCCCCATGTTAACCTTATGAGTATTCATTTTTAAAGGAAATTGAAGTATTTAGTCAGCTGTTTCAACTAAAAAAGGTGGTTCTATGATATGCAAAAGCATTAAAAGGTTATAAGATTTACCAACAGGGTGCAGCACTATTATTTTCTTTTTTTCCATTTATGAAAACAGCTAATTTGAACTAAGCAGCAACAAAAAACTGTGATACGCAATGAGAACTGTCAAAGTATGATTGTTTACAGTTATGTTTATGTTTTTTAATTTCATGAATAATTTGTGATATTTTGCGAATGTTTAAAATGATTTATTTTTCTCTATTGTTTAGGTGAAGTGGTAGAACATTATGGCTATTGTCGATGTGTAATACTAAAGTGAACCGTAAATTTAAAGAACCAAATTTTATCAAACTGTTATTTTGTTCTTCCCCATTGTAAACGGAAAGCTTGAGTAGGCCTATACCTATAACTGCAATAAGCATTATATACTTATATGACAACCCCGTACGAAGGACGGGTACTCTGCTAGTCATTTATAAAGAAAACCGCTCAATAGATATTTCCCTATTTGTTTGCCAAGAGACTGTTTTATGATAGGCCTATATACAGGCTGTCCCAAAAGTCCCGGACCGGTTTAATATTTTCTAAACGACAACAGATAAATCAATAAGGTTTGGTACATCAACACCACACCTAAAAATCTACTTTTTTAGGGAAATATCAATTTTCTGTCACATCATGGGGACGTCCCGCAAGGAGTCAGAAGGAAATCTTAATAGAAGCATAGGTTGACATGTACATCAAATTAAAGGTCTTTACTAGCAGAATATAATGCCGCAAATTTGAACTGAAACGGACAACCGAGTCAAGAATGGCAGTGGTTCAAAATTCATTTAATTTGCATTGCTATTAGACGCTTCTTACTCCTCGGGGGGCACAACCTTAAGAATCGGAAGAAAATTGTTAACGTAAGCATAGGTCGATATGCACATCAAATTAAAGGTTTCACTATTAGATTACAATGCCGTAAATTCAAGCTCAAAAGAACGCCTGAGTAAAAAATGGCAGGCTTCGTTCAAAGATTCAAAATGGCGGATTCAAGAAATCTTTGAACGGCTGCCATTTTTTATTCAGTTATCCGTTTGAGTTCAAATTTGCGGCATTATATTCTGCTAGTAAAGGTCTTTAATTTGATGTGCATATCAACCTATGCTTCTATTTAAGATTTCCTTCTGACTCCTTGCGGGACGTCCCCATGATATGACAGAAAATTGATAGTTTCTTAAATAAATGATGAAGATGGTTTTTGTTAACATTTATTTTGTAATTTCTAATGTTTAATCTTAAGTAATTGCCCGTGATATCAAAATAGGTACTGTAATTGAATCTTGTATATTGACGATTTTACTGTACTCGCCAGGTGAATGGGACTGCACATTTTCTTAAATGTAGAAACTGGTCCATATTAAGTTAACTTAAGATAAGTTAATTACAATAACTTAAAGTCAGTGAGCCTGTTGTCTAGCCCATGTTTGGTGTTGTTTCTGTTTATTGTGCGCGTATCTTTGCTTGTGGAAATTTTTTACGCTGATAAATCCAGCAACTTGCTAAATCACCGCAAACACCAGATTGCACATATTAAACTAGCCTGTGACAACAAAAATCCAAGTAAACTTACCGTATCATAAGACAAGACAACAAGTGTCTACTTGTTTTTTATTGTTGAAAACTATTATTTCAGAATCATCTCAATAACCTAGCCTATGTAATAACTAAATTCTTTCAAATAATTTAGTCTTGTAAAGTTAAAACCAATAAGTGTTAGCAAAATTTCATAATGTTCACATGTAATGTAAGTTACACTGTTCGTTAATCTAATAAAGCATTTCCAAACCTGTACGCATATAGGCTACCCCTAATGGAAGGCTAAGCTGAGACCACTGCAGTGGTACGTGGTGACGATCTAAGTAGGCTAAGTTTAATATTTCAGGATTGTTAGGACTACATTAGTGCATTGCTTCACCACAACTGTTTAAAATCAGCAAGACCTAAGATCAAGGAGGAGGTAGTTTTGTTAGTTTAACAAAGGTTTAACACAGTAAACCTGAGTACCCTGAAATCAAAGCACTCTAAAGTAATATTAGCTAAATTAAAACTCTTGCCTCCAGTGCCCAGTATGCCTACTTCACTCAGATACCTAGATTTCAATTGTGAAAATCTATCCTACCTAGGGAAGCTCGCCTCCACTTTGGAATGATTGGGATTACTGAATAATAACTGAAAACGCCATAGAATCCTTTTTGAGAGCTCCAAATTAATTTAATATAGAATAAAAACTAGTGAGTCAATACATTTTCAAAATTTAAATCATAGAAATCGTTTTGTTTATAGGACGAAAAGAACAATGTCCACTTTTGAAGGCAAGTTGCTGGAAGACAGTCTCCATTACATAAGGATTGACCAATTTGAGCCAAACAACCACGATGGAACAGTTTTCTTTTTATCACATTTTCATACGGACCATTTTAAAGGACTGTTTGGTGAAGCCTTTTTGAAAGTATTGATTGAAAATGAAAACAAAAAACTTTATTGCACTCCAGTCACAAAACATCTAATAAAAAGACATCCTAGGTGTAAAATCCCAGATCATAAAATAATTCCTTTGGTAGTCAATGAATGTAAACCTTTATATTATGAAGGGCAACATAGAGTGGTTGTAAGGGTGTTGCCTGCAGGACATTGTCCAGGCTCGGCCATGTTCTTGTTTGAAGAAGAAACAACAACGGGAACAAGAAGAGTGCTCTACACAGGCGATTTCAGGATAAATCCTGAAGAACTTTATAAGTTTAAAGCTTTGCACAACAGTGATGGGTCTTTGAAGAAACTGCATACACTGTACTTGGATACCACATTCTGTGACCCAAGGTGGATATCATTTCCATCTCGAAAGCAGTCGGAGGAGGATTTGATCGAAATAGCACAAAATTGGCTTAAAACAAGTCCTGACCACAAAGTAGGAATTTTGTACAACTCGTACCACGGACTAGAACATCTATTGATAAATGTAGCTGATGTTTTGAAAACCAAGATACATGTGAGAGACCTTCAGTCATATGAGAACTATGCTTGTATTCCTGAACTTCATCCTGCGCTATGCCAAAAAGAATCAGACTCCAGAGTGCATTTATGTTCTGTGAAAGAAATGGAGTGGTGCAAGATATGTCGCAGTGATCAGATTAACACGAAGATTATCAAACCTTGTGCTCAGAGTTTTACTAGTAAACAGTTGGAACTCGGTCGACAAAAAGAAGGAAGGCCCGGATTAGTGAGGATTGCGTATTCACTGCATTGTTCACTTGAAGAGTTAATTGGAACGGTAAAGTACTTGAAACCTGATGTTGTCCACCCTTGTGCTCTTCCTAGGAATCTGACAGAAGAACAGGTCCTGGCTAATCTACTTCTCGATGTAGTCAAGCTGAAACAAGAACTTCAAGAGAAGTCTACCTGCACAACTTCTCCGCCAAAGAAGAGGTTCTGTCGTTCACTCACACCAGAAGAGAGTGAAGTAGAAGAAGAAGAGGAAGAACCAAGTACACCAGATAAAAGTAAACATGGTGTACTATTTTTTGTAAGCTGCAGTGATGAGGAAGCGAATAAACCGTTATCACAGAATTCTATAGATTCACCTCCTCTATAAAATGTTAACAGCAGACCTTTAGTTATGTTCATAGTAGTGACATGTAGTATGTACGTTACAGTGTGTGGGCAAGTCTTAAATTAATGAAAACCAACCAGATTCACCAACTGTATTAAGTCCACAATTACTTATTGTACTTTTTAATTAAGAAAAAATGTCCAACTTGCTTCACCTGGAAAAGATTTTTATATGAGTGTATATGTGTGTAAGGTACAGCCACCTTTAAATCCAGGCCGCGGCCTGGTAGAATTGGCAACGTTGCAAGTGGTATTGTCTAGCACCAGACGTCCCATAAGATAACATGGCAGACAGGTGACACCACCTCATTAATTTGCGGATTATTAATTTAAATTTAAATTTATGAACATAAATGTATTAAAAGATTAAAAATAGAACAAATAGAATTGCAAATCAAAATGATATTTAAATTGAAAATCAATTTTTGTATATTTAAAGTGGAGTCAATATTTTCATAGCCTAGTAACCAAGCTTTCATATTCTTAAAAATATACACTAATCATTAGCTGCATCCAAAACTAAACAGCTGTTACAACCCCAATTGTGATGTTGCCACTTCAAAGGCCGCGGCCTGGAGTTAAAGGTGATCGTGATAGTAGTCAGTCAAATCCAATAAATCGAATCCCATGTGGCGTGGAGAAAACACATTAAAGAACTTGCAAAAAGTGTACGTTACTTTTTGTGACTTTTTGAAAAGTGTACGTAACTCCAACTTTTCTTATTTTTAAATAATTGAAACATTTAATCTTCAAATGAAGATCGCTGTTTCCCGGCTTTTGATTTACATATTGTTATAAGGATCTTCCAAAACAAAAGATTTCTATATTAGTTTTTAAAATAGATTTTTATACATTTTACAACTACATATATTTTTGTAATGCAGTTCATATTTTCTTTTATTAAGATTGGTATAATGTTGTTCATAACGTTTACAAGTGTTTGAAGATGACTAACAAAAACTAATATTACAATAATCTAAGTTGTTTTGGTAACATGTAGGTAAATGTATATGCTTCTGTTTTGATTAAAAAAAACTTGTAAAATGTAATTTTAATATACTTACTATGGTAGACCTGAATATAAATAAACGTATTACATTCTTCATATAATTTAACTTATTCCTAAGGCTAATAAACCACTGTTATGTAATTAAAAAATATATTGTGATGAATGGTTTGATAGATAAAGGGTATTCTGGATACTTCACTAAGATAATGTTGGTTACAAAGCGGTGCAGTATATTTAATAAAAAGTTGATGATGCATTGTATGTCTTGTGTTCTGTTTTTCCTGAGTTATGCATCATGCACTATATTTATTTCATTATTGAAGACTTTTAGTACAAGCCTTCTCACTCAGAAAACTTGAAAACTAATAGTTGATTAGCTCAGTTATATTAATAGAAGCAATCCCGTGACATAAAAGTAGCAAGTGTTATCTTGGCTTATGTGATGTGTTCCTTCGGTTTTTTAAATACATGTTCGCATAAAACAAAGTGTTTTGTTAAAAAAAAATACTAATTCAATCAAGAAACAAAAAATTCTGCAAGTCTGCTGGTTTTAGATGGTAGGTACTTTAAATGTGTCTTGCCTAAGTCTACATTTAAAAAATCAGATTTTTTTCTAAAAATCACATATCAACAATTTAAATTTGACTGTAAAACATAAAACTCTAATAAGGTACCTACAGTACTTAGTACTTGTAAATTGTTTAGATGATTCACCAAGTACCTGTATTTTAAATCTCAAGCTACCAACTATTTAAATTCAATATCTTGCGGTTCCACATGTTGTTTTACTTCCTTGTTGCCGATACATAATATGATGCATTGATATTATCTATTTGAAAAACAACATCTTATACAGGGTGTTTTCAAAAGAATGCCGGGATTTAAAATGGTTGCTCGTGGACTATTTAAGATAATTAAATGATTCAAACGTCAAATTGAAGGGAAAAAAAACAAAGTTTTTTCTCATTCTTTGATACAATTCAGAATGATTTAATAAAATTCAGATGTTCATCAATCTTATATGAGCGTAAAACTGGCAAAGTCTGTACACTTAGGGCGATCGGTGGGTTTATCTGATGTCTAACTGAATATTTTAGGCACAAAGACTATCTTTTACAGATAACATCAATAAGAGACCAATTTAGGTTTGTTCAACTGAAGACTTCTTCAGGCAATCGATTTTTTCAGGCTTCTGATGCAGAATTGTTGGATTTCTTCGCGATTGTTTTTAGCCGGCCAGGTGAATGTCTTTCCAAAACAGTACGGTGCCACAAAACTCATTAAACCAGCTTCAAGTTTCTTATCATGAAGTAGTTTTAAATTTAGTTTAATTTAGCAATGGATATAAAATCTGCCAACCACAGATTACAATTTGTACCTTCTGTTGTGGAAAAAACATCGTACTCTCGACTGTCGTCAAGCGTATGAGTCACAATAGCGGCCTACCACCGCGCACCTGTTTTGCGCATGCCAAGGTCAAAATTTCCTTCCTTCCTTCCTGGCTTTGCTACACGGGAAACAAAACTTAGTTATTTTAGCTTCAATTTGACGTATAAAACGTTTAGTTACCTTGAATAGTACCCAAGCAATTATCGTTTAAAATACCGGCATTGTTTTAAAAACACCCTATCTATATATTAAAAAATTTGGTTTTTCTTTGCCGAGTTCATTTGGCCCTTCTATCTGACCGATTTTCATGATTGAGGTCTCAAAATGAAGGTATGGACACACAGATTTCACACCAAGCATTGGAATATATCTATCTACTGTATTACTCCACCAAAAAACATAAATTTGATTCATTTTTGAATTCTTACTTTAATTTAAGATGGATTTCACCAGTTGTAATTATATAATCCTATATATTTATTTATTTCTAAGAACCTTCAGTGAAATACCGGCTTTAATTTAAGCTATTAGTTATTCAAATCGGACGAGTTTCAATTAAACGCAAGGTGAACAACAACAAAAATAATTTTTTATAAGGTTTTTGTAGGTTTAAAATCAATAGCTCCAGTATTGTTTTTTTTTTTATATGTTTTAGACTTAATATTATCAGTAAATAAAGGCTTTAATTTGAGCTATTGATCGTTAGAATCAGTTAAGTTTAAGATACTGTATTACTCAATCAAAAATCATAAATTTGATTATATCTCGGATATGATATTCATTTCAACCCTGCGAAGCAGCATTAGTCCTCTGGTTTCAGTTAATTAGGCTATACAAAAAAAAAAAATAAATAAATAAATAAGAACCCAATACCGTTAAAAAGATTTTCATAGTTTTATTCATTTAGTTAGTGTAGTGTTTAAGTAGTAGTTACATGTAAGTAGTCAATGTTTTATTTTTTTAGATTTCTGAGCAGGGAATATCATAATTTAACATTCTTCTAGTTTTGCAGTTCAAACTTAAGTTCTGGTTGCTAGTTGTGAGGTAAAGAAAGTAGCTTAATTTGTAGATTTTAAGTACAAAATAAAATTTCAAAGGATTCTATTTTCTCTCTAAAGGAACGTGAAATCTCATAAATAAAAATCCACTAAGGTCACTCCCCAATAAGTTTTCACTTTCATGGGATCCAGGCATAATATTTGTATGGTTTCGTGTAATAATAGGCAACGATGAGTGCCAAGAAGCATGTGCCAGTGCCAGCAGAGATGCCAACATTTGGCTCCAAGCTGTGTCACAAGGTCAGACGTTTGAATGCCAAACTTTCCATTCATCTTGAATATTTGGTAAATACAGCATTTTGTAATATTGAAAAAACCAAGTTTTCTAATAAATCCATGACTTGTTCAGTAAATTCACACTTTAAACTTCTACAATTATTCTGAAATTATAATTTTTATAATTTTTTTTCTGTTAGTTTTGGTCCTCCTGAGTTTGGAGAACATTAAAGGTGACACGTGTATTAAAGATTGTATGATTGGCAAAGCACGTGTTTGATCCATCCTAAGAAAGAATCTAAGCTAGAGACATCGTTGCTTAAGTATCTGGGCCATCTGGAATAGTATTCAGTTTAAAAACTCGGAGAAGAAAACAATAATCACAGATTGTAGGCAAACTAGAGAATTGTTGTTGTCTAGTCCTGGGTTGATAAGGAACTGATATGGACAAACAATCAAAGGATGTTAGAAAATTATAGATGTGTTAGTATAACTCAGGCACTCGTAAAACTTGTACACACTAGGATTTGAACCCTTTATGGTAAAAAGTAATGGATACATTGTTTTATTTCCAGAAAAGTAGTAAAATTTTTCTGATTTTAAGAGCATATCAATTATGATTTTTAACCCTTTAACTCAACACCTCTCATGACTAACAAAAACTCACCTACAACTTTATTAACTTATGTTAGTTGAGCTCAATAAAAACAGTTAAAGACTGTGTATGATGTTTGCCGTAATTTAGGAGGTAAACCGTACCAACACTACGGAATTTTGTATACTGAATTGATTGAGTGGCCGACTGTTATATTATCTGCACAATGGCCACAATAAGCTTTTATCACCTTGATCCGAAAACGGCACTGAAGATGGTGGGTTTCAAATCCCAGCAAAAAAATGTTTAGTTCTGTTGTGCAATCCATGAGGGGTTTGCCATCTGTAGCAGGGCTGGTAGTAAAAACAGTTGTTGCTCAGATGGAAGTTTAGGGGACTTAATGAATTGCATTTTCTTAATAGTGGACCTATATAAGAGCTCCGGAAGTTAAAAAAGTGTTTTCTAAACTGGCAAACAAGCTTTACTGGTTAGAGTATTAAAAACTAATGCACTGGAAATATTATTGACAGTAGCTATATCTCTCCATTTCGGTCAGAAATCCTTTGAGTGAACTAAAGTAGGTTTCACTTTGCACAACAATTTGCCGCCCATGAGGTTGATTTGACAGCGATGGTCAGGTGTTTGTTGTAACTGCCATTTCATAATAAAGTATTAAATTACCTCCTCAAAGACAGGCAATATGAGTTAAACCTAGCCTCATTATATCTCCAACTCATGCCTATGCCATATAAGGGCGAGCGGTGTGAGGGGGGGTCGTGACCACCCCCCCCCCAAATATTTGTTATATTATATAGATAAACTATTATACAAGGGGAACTTAAATAATTTTTATTACAAATCGTTCTACCAAATTCATTGTATTGTAATCTTTACACTTGTGGCGAACAAAAGGACTAATTACAAACTCTAACCTAAAACTTGGGATCTTTCGAGTCAGATTTTTTTGTACGTTATGAGTAGGGAAGATCGGCAGACGACGGACGCTTTCAGCCATATACGGCAACAGCAGTGTCCGATGCTAGCGTTCGATATTCGCACGCATTCTTCTTATTTAATTTTTCAGCATTTAATATTATCATTCATTTTAACCTAGATGATTGAAAACTTGAATTGGGAATTGGACAAAGAAAAGAAGTTTTATCAATAGTCAAAGCTTGAAAGGTAGTTGAATATTAATTTATCTGAGTTCAGCGTTAGGAATTTGTAATTACAGTAATGTAATTCAATGATTACCGTAGCAAATTTTAAAACTTTCCATATAAAATAGTATTAATATTTAGAGCCCTGATATCATAGGTATTTAAGAATACCACTACCCAATTGGTATGTTGCTAGCCACGAAACAACAACATACTGGTAGTGTCTCAGACTTGGATGCGGAAGGAACGGATTTAATTCCCGGCACAACCACAAAAACGTTGCACAAAAACTTTATTCTCACGTTGACCCCTTGTAAAATGCCACTGGGGTAGAAAAAAAATGAGAACACTGAGAACCAATTCTTCAGGGTAGCAGTTAGTTAGGGGGACGGCAACCACCGAAGTATATAACACATCTTCGAAGTTGTGTTATATACTTCGATGACGGCAACGTTAGTTGGGTAGTGTACTTTGTGTAGGTTAATTGTTGCTTACTGGGCAGGTATAATGCAGTCGTGTTGGGTGTAAGTTATTAAACACTTCTTTGGTAAAATAAGTTCTCTGGTTCAAAATCTTGGTCTGATTTGGGAAATTTTCTGTTTAGCATGCACATCCGCACCAGTTAAAAGGGTGTTTTCGTAAATCAATAATGCTTGAATGTGTTTTAATGTTGCGGTATTCCTTCGTTTTAAAACCCCAAGTCTCAATAATGCAAAAACATGACATTATACAAGTTTATTTTCAAACATTTCTTTGACCTTTAAATAAACTGGGAAGCTTGAACACATTAAACTAGGTCCTAAAAATAGCTTAAAAACCACTCACTTTAGC